TTCAGTTCCCCCCCCTGTTGACGAGCGTGCTCCACTAGCCCCCCCCCCCCCCCACGCATTCTCCGCTACCACCACAAGTATATTTCAGATCTGTGGGGAAACACTGTTAAGGCATATATTATAGGGAACAGATATATAAAAAACATGTTGCTCAAAATACCAAAAACATCTCATTGAGGAGAATTCTCTCATCAGAAACTCAGCTAAACGCTGCCGTGTTTAAACGCCATATCATATTACAAACCACATCAAGGATTATTTCTGAAACGGTAAGATAAGTACTTTATTGATCCCACTGTGGGAAATGTTTGCGTTGCATCAGCATAAAAACATCTTATTGTCGTTCTAAACATTGTGTGCGTGTGTGTAGTTTCCTAGGATACGTGGATAAACTGGGCGTGGCTTACCAGGCGCCCACAGTGGCCACCGGGTTCGGAGCGTACCTGGCTCAGGTGAGTCCTGCAGATCCTATTCTTACTGTAATACAGAGGTTTGATGAACATTTAAAGGGACAGTTTGGGTGTTTAACCTGTGTGTGTGTGTCTCTGTCTGTGTGTGTGTCTCTGTCTGTGTGTGTCTCTGTGTGTGTGTGTGTCTCGGTCTATGTGTGTGTGTGTCTCTGTCTGTCTGTGTGTGTGTCTCTGTCTGTGTGTGTGTGTGTCTCTCTGTGTGTGTGTGTAGCCTCTGATGAGGGAGGTGGTGGAGAACAAGGCAGAGATCAGTAAGCAGGAGGCGAGGGAGCTGGTTGAACGCTGCCTCAAAGTTCTGTACTACAGAGACGCTCGCTCCTACAACCGGGTGAGTGCCATTCTTCTCAAAACTTCAGATTCTTTTTGTCAAAATGTTAGTTTTTTGCAAAAGTTCGAAAGACAAATTATCGCAATTCAGATTGTTCGTTTTTCCTTCTAAAATGTCAACATTCATATCGGTTCAGGATTTTTTTTTTTTCAATTTCTTTGTATTTTCAAAAATCTCAAGTATTTTGTTTTTTCTAAAATCTCAAAATTCAGATTTTTTTTTTCTCCAAAAAATTCGACTTCAAATTGAGACATTTTCTAAAAAGGTCTCGGGTATCAAATCCGATCTCTTTCTGAGATTTTAGTAAATTTACAAGAAAATAAACCAAATTATGTCGAGCTCTGTTCCATGTTGTTCTACCTCTCGAGAGTTTAACTTGTGATGTTTTATCTCTCAGCATGAGATTGCCATCGTGACGGAGGAAGGCGTGGAGATCATCGGGCCGCTGTCCTCAGAGACTAACTGGGACATCGCTCACATGGTCAGGTACGAGACAGAGAGACATAGAGAGGAACCTTTATTGATACGTCCACAGGTGTGGGGTTCAAACGGGTCAGTTACATTCAGAGCTAATTAAGAAGTTCTGTTTTAATATTATAAACCGGTCCGAGGCGCTGTGAACATTTCTTATTCTCTGATCAGACTCATTACAGCCATGTGGTCAAATTAACCATTTAGCTTTATTCTCAATCATTAAATTAGGATATTTGATCAAATATTGATCTCTAAGATATTATTATTCGTGTTGTTTTTTTTTTTAACGGACATGAACTAGTTTTCTTTGGGTTATTAACCGTCTGAAACCACTGCATATTATCAGCTTTAGTTTCTGCCCTACTTTCTCTAAACGAAAATATGTCTTGAGAAATGTTTCCGTGGTGATAAGAATAAAACAGAATGCATTATTTTAATACATTCTTAAATAGAACAATCAGTGAAGTGCATATTGAATATATTAAATTTACTGTAAGCAGCAGGAGGATTTAACCTCTCTGTTGTCGGAACATGATGCAAAATGATTACAGTTTTATTTTAATATTATGTAAAATGATCTTCACTTTGCCCAAAAATATTATTTAAACAATTAAAAAAAGATATAGAAATGAAGTTAAGATGGACCTTTATTTATCGCTGTGGGGAAATTCAGGAGTTAAAGCAGTGAGTGAGTGAGAGACTCTGACTTAAAATATATACCAGGGTATACTATATATTACTAATTCAGGGTATATGCAGGAATCCTGAAGTCACATGTAAGACCTTTTAAGATCCTTTCCATACATTTTAAGACCTCATCGCCACTCTGAGTTTTAACCGGTTACCTTGGCGACACACTTTACCTCACATTTACTATATACAGTATTGATTGTCCTTTCTCCTTATCTTCCAACCATTTGGACGCAAACTTGCATTTCCCCATAACGATGTTGTTTAACAACCGGCGTAAACGGACCTTCGCGCGCTATCAAGCAGTGAGCGTGCGATGTCCTGTTCAGATGACGTCAAATCCAACGGGATGCCATAAATAAACTACACAGAATCACACTACACACCTACGCAATGATTACATTCAGGCAGACTGTAGAATACAACCTCTTTGGACAATTTATATACTTATTTAAAACAAGCTACAAAATGTATATATACAGTCCAGCATCTTCCTCGTCCTCACTAACAGTTTAACTTTATTCAATATAACTTCCCCCAGCCTCCTTGATATCTTTAGTAGTTGTAGGAATCCCTGCTGATGAGAAATGATCCTGATGTTTTGAGATCATTTAAATATAATGCTGTGTTTCTGTTTCTCTGCAGCGGTTTTGAATGAAGACGAGCTGCATCAAGAACAACTTCTGCAACTTATCTTCCCCAGTTTAGTGTTTTCTCCTGTTCGTGGTAGCTTTTGTATAATGGAAAATAAATGTAATAAATCAAAAAAATCTGTGTTTTTTTATTTATATGTGTGGTACAGATTAATGTGGACGAACCGTAAATCACACTATACTATTAATAACCTACAGAAACACCCTGTGGTTTAATGTCAAGATGTTTACCTGTTAATGCTAATCACAGTTTTATCATGTGGATCCAGCAGTGGCTCAGTCAGTAGGGGCTTGGACTGGGAGCCGTAGGGTCGCCGGTTCAAGTCCCCGAACAGACCTAAATATGGAGTGTGGCCTGCTACTTGGAGAGGTCCCAATTCACTTCCTGCCCTGCCCTGGTGCCCTTGAGCAAGGCACCGGACAACCCCCTTCCCCCCTCACTCCCATTGCTCCCCGGGCGCTGTACAATAGCTGCCCACTGCTCCTGGCACTAAACTCCTGCCGCTAAACTCCTGGCGCTAGACTCCTGGCGCTAGGCTCCTGGCGCTAGGCTCCTGGTGCTAGACTCCTGGTGCTAGACTCCTGGTGCTAGACTCCTAGTGCTAGACTCCTAGACTCCTACTACTAGACTCCTGGTGCTAGACTCCTGGTACTAGACTCCTAGACTCCTGGTACTAGACTCCTGGTACTAGACTCCTGGTGCTAGACTCCTACTACTAGACTCCTGGCGCTAGACTCCTGGTACTTGACTCCTGGTTCTAGGATGAGTTAAATGCAAAGAACAAATGTCACTGTGTGCTCGGGGCTCTGCATGTATGACCATTAAAGAGGGTTTCATCCCTCCCATTCTATCTATTCTATTTAGTTAAAATCAACAAAGCGTTCTCTTGTTTTCCCGCAGAGCATATCCTAGATGCCCCTGATGGAGAGGATATGTGATATATGAATACACTTCAGAGCTGTATAATACATTTAATTTAGCTTTTAAAGAGACTTATAAGTGCATTCAAATCAATATACATAGTTTATTTAAGAACACACTCACACAGTTATTCTGTTATAGTCTCTGGACAGTATATGTTATTAAACATACAGATGAGTTTAAACCTTATTCATAAAAATCTTCATCTGAAGTCATTTGCTCGCACAGCCTAAAAAGGCGGCTGTTGCTATGCAGATTCAGCGAGATAAAGTCATCTGTTTTGTAACTGGGCAGACCAGGTAATGGCTTCCAATCACAATAATCCATGTCAGAGAAATAATTCTGCTCGACCAATGAGATCCCACTCGCTTCTGGTATCCGGGTAGGTTAGAGACAGCCGACCAATGGGAATAGACGTTGGCTTTGTAGTCAGGCAGACATAACAAAGTCGTCCAATCACAAAAAAATCTGAAAGGGGATTTTTGCTGTATCTTGACTCAGGTACTTTCTTTTTCTTTTTAAAATAAATTCTAAAGGGGGACTCACCTAACAGGCACTACGTTAGAAACAGAATAAATTCCCCGTTATCAGGCTTTATTTTGAATTTACAAACGGCGTGAGAAATCATGTTTAACGGGTGTTTCAGTGCCTGCTAGCTAATGCTATCTGATAGCAAGCGGCTAGGCTAGTTAGCCGGTTAGCAGCTAGGAACGCGGCTAATATTTGCCAAAGATAAATCGGCGTTAAAATAATGTATTCTGGTTTGAAACGGTTGTTGACAGTGTGTGTTCTTAATCCAGCTAACGTGTTGAAATGTCGCCGCGTCGGGAGGGTTGTCTGCTAGCCTGTTAGCGTAGCAGTAACATGTTGAGGGTGTGTGTGTGAGAGCCGTGTGTGTGTTTGCGTCTGGTGTTGAAGCCCATATTTTGAATGTCCGTAGCGGCCAAACGGTGGTACTACAGCTTCCGTAACGTCATTTTGGCCCACAAATACTCTTCCTCGTTGACTTACATTGGGAAAGAGACGTCTGTAAATCAGCGGATAATTTGTTTTCAGCTAAATAAACTACCCTACAAGAACTATTTTGTATTCCTTATTTAAATCATCGGGGTGTAAAAGTTGTAAAATGCGCTAAAATAGTTATTTCCCCTCTCCGTTCATCTGATTGACAGGGAGCGGGAGATCCGAGACTGGGATTAAGGGAAACTCCACTGCGCATGCTCAGTGGGCCCACATTGAATCTACAGTTGCTCTATTTTGGGCTTCATGCGCCAATGAGCATCTCTCATAGGAATGAACGGAGCCCCGCCTCTCTCTTAATACAGTGTGTGCGCGTGCGTGTGCGTGGTGATAGTAAATGGCATCACATGACCACCGGCTCTCTGTAAACACTGCAGTGAGACATGACTTTGGGATTATTTACAACCTGAGATTCAAATGAAATGGCTACTTGTGGGTTATCTGTCGCCACTTTTATAGTATTTTTCAGACTCTCTAAATATGCACTTTTACTTAATAACACACATTTGTATTTGTGAAAAGTTGGAAAATTCAATTAAAAAGTGGCGACAGATAAAGTGTTTTGTCCTCAGATGGTGTACTTTAAAGAGTGTTTTGTCCTCAGATGGTGTACTTTAAAGAGTGTTTTGTCCTCAGATGGTGTTTCTCAGCGCTAGTTGAGGATGTCGGAGGACCAGCGGCAGGTCGAGGCCTCTCAGGGGGGGGGGGGCGGGTGTGGAGGGCGACACGGAGCCCAGCATGCTGCTGCAGAAACTCAAGAGCAACATCTCGTAAGATATCACACCTCATTATCATCTTTATACAGTCCTGTTTGAATATCAACCAATCAGCAGAGGCCTGTCTCCAACCGCTGTGTGTTTCTGTGTTGCAGCAAAGATGTTCAGACCAAAGTGGATCAGATCCTGGTGAGTGTGTTCACATCGTGTTTACATCTGAGGCCTGTACTCTGAATCCAGTCCAACATACCCTGATATCTCTGAGTTATCTTACCTAACCCAAAACAAACGCGCTCTCGCTAAGCGGTCCTACGACGCTGGTTATCAACTCGGTAACTCAAGCCAGGGTTTCTCTGTCCGGCTGAGTGCGCGAGTTGACTCGAGTGTTTCGTCAACTTAATGTGTTGCTTGAAATAATACTTCTGCATACAGTATGTGACACTGAGTGTTGCACGGCCAGATACGGCTCAGCTGACTCAGATAAGGAAATATATGATACATTATGATGTGATATGATATGAATGATAATGGGACACATCGACGTCTGCACTCACAGTGCCGCGGACTGTACTTAATGTTACTCTGATCCGGTTACTTATGTTGTGGCAGATATAAGTAAGCTTTCTTAACGCTAATGTTATAATAGTCAGATTGCTCTGAAGATGGGAGGGGATATTCTATTAATGTTCACATTCACACAATCGGTGATTTTTGCCGGCCGTCTTTCCTGCAACGGCAGTTTAAATTTCCTTTCTCCTGTAATATGACTTGATAGCTTTAAACTCCGCACACTGAGCCCTGATTGGTCAGCAGGCAGTGCTTTCACTGAGTTGATCTCTTATCCTACAACCTAACCTGCTCCGGAGCAGTGTGTGTGAGAGGAAGTGTGTGTGCAGGTGAGAGGAAGCGTGTGTAGGTGAGAGGAAGTGTGTGTGTAGGTGAGAGGAAGTGTGTGTAGGTGAGAGGAAGTGTGTGTGTAGGTGAGAGGAAGTGTGTGTAGGTGAGAGGAAGTGTGTGTGTGATTGTATTCTTATTTTCTGCTTTAACAGCAAGATGTTCAGCGTTTCTCCGACAACGAAAAGCTGTACCTTTACCTCCAGCTGCCCTCGGGACCCAGCACCGGGGACAAGAGGTACATTACATTTAGGTATTTTAGGTATTTTAGGTATTTTATTTATTTTATTTATTTTATTTATTTTATTTTATTTATTTATTTATTTTATTTATTTTATATAATTGAATTGTATTATTTAATGTATGTGTGTAATGATGTATACCTGTGTGTTTACCTGTGTGTTCAGTGTGGGGGACTGCTGCTCCTTCAACACAGCTGATCAGCTGCACACCTGCAACTGGATCAGGAGTCACCTGGAGGAGCATTCAGACACATGCTTACCCAAACAAGACGTCTACGAGACATACAGGTGAGCACTCACACACACACACACACACACACACACACACACACACACACACACACACACACACACACACACACACACACACACAGACAAACACACACACATACAGACACACACACTCACAGACAAGACAGACACTCACAAACACGCACACACACACTCTCACAGACCCACACACACACACACACACACACACTAACTCTCACTCACACACACACACACACACTCTCACAGACACACACACAGACAGACACACACACACACTAACTCTCACTCACACAGACACACACTAACTCTCACTCACATACACACACTCTCACACACACTAACTCTCACTCACATACACACACTCTCACACACACTAACTCACACTCACACAAAAACACACACACACACACTAACTCTCACTCACACACACACACTAACTCACACTCACACAAAAACACACACATACTAACTCTCACTCACACACACACACTCACAGACAAACAGACAGACACACACACACACACTAACTCTCACTCACACAGACACACACACACACTCACACACACTAACTCTCACTCACACACACACACACACTAACTCTCACTCACACACACACACACACACACACACACACTAACTCTCACTCACACACACACACTCTCACAGACACACTCACACACAAACACACACACGCACTGACACTCACTTCTTGTCTGTGTCCACAGGAGATATTGTGAGATTCTTCAACATCGCCCTCTCAGCGCCGCTAACTTCGGGAAGATAATTCGAGACATTTTCCCCAACATCAAGGCTCGCAGGCTGGGAGGCAGAGGGCAGTCCAAATATCCTTTCAGCCGCAAGGCTTCATGGGAGATGTAGTTTGTATTCTCAGTAGCTTAGCTTCTTCCTCTGATAACTTCAGATCCAGACGTGCAGAAAGGTTTAACTCAAGGTCAATCAACTAATAAATATCCTTCTCTCAAACACAAGCAGACACGCAGATTTACATTTTGAGAATTTGAGAAAAAAGTCAGGATTTTGAGAAAAAAGTGAGAATTTTGAAAGAAAAGTCTGACTTTTGGCTGAAACACACTCAAACATCGTCTGCTCTCTAAAGCAAACAGACCTTGTGAACAAATCGATTGGTTGAACGTTGAGAGGTTTATTCATCTGGTCGAGCGAGGGGCCAAACCTTTGTTGTTCTTGTTTAATGAAGTTACCTGTTGTCTCTTTAACCTGCCGCTCGTACGTACTGCTACAGCGGCATCAGGAGGAAGACTGTGCTCAACATGCCTCTGCTGCCCAACCTGGACCTGAAGAACGACCCGGTACACACACACACACACACACACATACATCCTTTGTGCCTGTAGCCATCAGGCTGCACAACAAGGGGTCAACAATGTGATGTAACATGAAGTTAAACTGATGAACTCTCTGTGTTTCTGCAGGCGGAGCTGACAGAGTTGGTGCAGACGTATAAACAGGAAGTGACGGAGGCGGCGTGCGAGCTGATCTGTGATTGGGCGCAGAAGATCCTGAAGCGCTCGTTCGACACGGTGGTGGAAATCGCCCGATATCTGATCCAGGAGCACATCGTGAACCCTCGCTGCAGCCAGGCTGAGCTGGTGACCTCCGCTGCACTCGCAGGTGTGTGTGTGTGTGTTTTAGTTGTGAGATGGTGCAAGAGAATGTTGTGAAAGTATATAGAAATAGTGCAAGTAGATGTGTGATGACTGACAGCTGTCTCTCTGCAGGAGGTCCAGCCAAATCCCACAAAGTCATCAAGAAGACGGTGATTTCTAAAGCAGACAGCGAAGGAGCAGCTGATCACAAGGTGAGCTCACCTGATACCTGCTATTCATCACTTCCTGTCGCTGCTGCTAATCACTTCCTGTCTGTCTGCAGAAGGACTTCGGGGACTCTTCTTCCTCGTCTTCTTCACTGAGGCCTGGAGACAAATCAGCTGCAGCAGTGAAGCCTCTGGACGCTCCTCTTCCTCCTTCATCCTCCTCTTCCTCGTCTCTGCGGCCTGCGGTACGTCTACACGTCATGACGTCATGTCTTACATCAACGTTTCTCTCTGATGCTGTTATGTTCCATGTTTGTTTCTCATGTATTGTGTCCTGACACATGGAGCTGCTGTGATGATGTGTCCTGACACATCATCACAGCAGCTCCATGTGTCACAAATATTTATCTGACCAATAAAGGATTATCGTATTTATTAACAACAACAACAACAACAACAACAACGACACTGATGATGTGTTTCAGGTGGAGGCCTTCATGAAGCAGTTACCCAGAATCCTCCCTCGCTCTTCCCTCCCCGATAAGACTCACCTGTCTGTTAGCTCCTCCCCTTCTCTGTTAGCTCCTCCCCCCTCGCTGGCTCCCAAAGACCCCCCAGGTATGGGAGGAGCTTCGGCCCCCGGAGGTCAGGTGAAGGTCATCTCCATGGGGGGCGGGGCTCTTCCAGTGATGATCCTCCCACAGAGCGTCCTGACCTCCGCCCCCCCGCCCCCCCCTCAGCTCTCAGCCCCCACCTCGGTGCTACAGAAGCCCCGGGGTCAAGGGTCAGGGCTCACCAAACGCCCCCCCTCTGACCCCTTCCCCGCCCCCCTCCCTCTGAAAAGAAAGCGAGGACGACCCAGGAAACCGCGCCCAGAAGAAGCCCCGCCCCCTCTTCCTCCGGCTGTTCTCTCACCCAAACCCCCTCCCCCCTCTCACATGCCAATCATCACCTCGGTAACGGGGGGGGTCATCCAGCTGTTGCAGAGCGCTCCCCCCCCCCATTGGGAGATTCAGGGGGTCATTCAGAAAGCCCCGAGACCAGGAAACAACATGTTGGCTGTTCCATCAGCTGTGCTGCCCCCCCCCCACGCTGCACGATGATGACCAGGTGGAGATCACCCTCACCCCCGTGGAGCTGCACCTGGACACGCCCACTTCCTATTCGTCCGCTCCCACTTCCTGTTCCTCCCTCACGGTGATGAAGAGGAGGGAGGAAGAGGAGGGGGGGGAGGGGGGCTCTAAGAGACAATAATGGTGCTTTTCCACTGCAGCGCGGTTTAAGCGTGGAGACGCAGCATAAAGTGAGCCTGGCCTACCAAGGCCTAACGAGGCCTAACGAGGCCTACCAAGGCCCTGAAGTGGAAAGGCGCCATAACTCTCTTCTATCAGCTGTTTAACCTCACCTGGAACATTAAGCCCCGCCCCTCTTTTGGCCTCTTTCCTCTTCCTGGTGTGTGTGTGTGTGTGTGTGTGTGTGTGTGTGTGTGTGTGTGTGTGTGTGTGTGTGTGTGTGTGTGTGTGTGTGTGTGTGTGTGTGTGTGTGTGTGTGTGTGTGTGTGTGTGTGTGTGTGTGTGTGTGTGTGTGTGTGTGTGTGTGTGTGTGTGTGTGTGTGTGTGTGTGTGTGTGTGTGTGTGTGTGTGTGTGTGTGTGTGTGTGTGTTTGTTAAGAGGAGTAAATCCTGTAATTTGTTTATCATCATTTTCCCACAAAGTTAAAACTGGAGAACATTTATTTAAACATCACAGAATAACAGAATGAGTCGTGTTTACGTGATAACCCCTTAGCGACAGCAGCTCGGCCCGACGGGGTGTAATGTTTCCCCCGACTGACATTAGCTCTCATTAGCCCCACGTGCCCAGCAGAGATACACATTGCAGTTTATTATTCATTATTATAGTTACAAGTTGTTAATGTGGCCTGAAGAGAGTCAGCATGCAGTAATACTGAGGGAAGAGGGCTAGCCTCTGTAGCACTAGCCTAGCCTAAAACTAGTCTAGCCTAGCACTAGCCTAAACCTAGTCGAGCCTAGCCTAGCACTAGCCTAGCCTAAACCTAGTCTAGCCTAGCACTAGCCTAGCCTAAACCTAGTCGAGCCTAGCCTAGTACTAGCCTAGCCTAAACGTAGTCGAGCCTAGCCTAGCACTAGCCTAGCCTAAACCTAGTCGAGCCTAGCCTAAACCTAGTCGAGCCTAGCCTAAACCTAGCCTAGCACTAGCCTAGCTTAGCTATCGTTGCCATGCTTCCTTTGCACTAGCTCCTCTGATCAGCGATGTGACGTCACCACGGTTTCTCGGAGACGTTAGAGTTCACTGTGTTTGAGTTGAGGGAAATTATGGGATGTGTTTCGATAAAATGTGAGAAAAAATAATTAAACCAGTTCACATGATGCTAACCCTATTTTGTAAAAAGATACAAAACATTAAAAAAATCTTAACTTAAAAATAATTGTTAAAATTAACAATTAGAAGTAGAATGGAAAATGTTTGTCTATCGAAAGATTCCCAGAAAAAGATCAAAGGTTAGAACGATCTGCCCCCCCCTCCATCTTCTTCTTCTTCGTTGGTGGACGTCGTGGTTACGCCACATTGTTGACGTTTGTTTTTTCTGCCAAACCGCCTCCGGGTGTCTTCTTCTTCTTCGTTGGTGCTTCAAACCGCAGATCACTGTTTCACATCAACACTCGCACGTCCATGTGTGTGTACAGGTGTGTGTGTACAGGTGTGTGTGTGTGTGTCCCTCCGTCCTGTGCTTCAAAGGGACGCCAACAGTGTGATTTTTTTTTTACTGTTAAAATGACTCCTGTTGCATGATGGGAAAGTGAATTTAAAGCAGCTCTGTTGATGCTCTCTTTTTGTATCAGAAAAACAAAGTGCCAACACCGTCTTCAAACAGACCTGAAACTACTGGAGGTCCTCGGGGGTTCATGGTTTCATGGTTTTTATGCATCGATGAAATACAGTTCAGAGTTACGTGTTCGACTGGAGAGGGAAACGTTTATCAGAGGTTCAGAAACTGGATTTAAAGCAGAGTTTTGGTGACAGGAAACTCACCTGTAAAGCTTCAGGAAGTCCCAGTTTCAAAAGGAAGTGTCCACAACGCCAAGGAGTCCAGTCCGTCCCAGTTTGGATCTCTCACTGGGACGGACTGGACCATCAGATCGTAGAGAGTCAAAGGCAGGAAGAGCCCAGCTGGTCTCAGTTTCTCTCACTGGGAGCTCTGGTTCTGGTTCTGGTTCTGGAATATTTCACTGTGGAGCCTTGTGGCTCAAAAACAGAAACGGGTTAGATAATCAAAGATTTAAGGATCGGGATTCGGGTAGCGGAGCGACGACCAATAAGGATCAACCTCAGCGTCCTCTGATGTCACTTCCTGTTGTGGGATGTTTACCTGCTGATTGATTGACAGGAGTCTCTTAAAGGGACAGGAGCCTCTTAAAGGAACAGACGTGTTTTAAAGGGACAGGAGCCTCTTAAAGGAACAGACGTGTTTTAAAGGGACAGGAGTTTCTCACAGAGTTGGACCAGAAACTGCTGAATTCTGCAGGTTAAATGAATGCAGTCTGTTGTCCATCAGCTGTTGTCTTAATGTGAGACTTTGGTGTTTTAAAGGGTCGTTCAGAGGCTCCAGAGTCACCCAACAAGACCAGTAAACCACTGATTGACACCAGTGACAAAGACACAGAGGTGCTGGTGTAGTAGAAATACAACAGGTACATTTGTTGTGTTATTGTGGGACTTAAAAAGTTATTTCTGAGTCACCAAAGCCTCATATTAACGTGGCAGGAGTTCACCATGACCTGCTGAAATCTCATAAACAAAGGAACTGTCCCTTTAACTCCTGACCTAAATGGCTGTCATGTGACCTGAACGGCTGTCATGTGACCTGAACGAGGGTCATGTGACCTGAACGGCTGTCATGTGACCTGAACGAGGGTCATGTGACATCTGTGATTAATCATCAGATAAATACTTTGATTATAAAAGCTGACGGCATGACGAGGCGTTCGAAGATCCTGGTCTCTCCGCAGATTCTGGGGTAAAGAAGGCTAACAGTAGCCCTGTTTCCTGTCAGAGACACACTCAGCTGGGGCTTCTGGGTAATGTAGTCTCTGAGTGTGACTCTGACACCAGACAGATTTGAGAGCTGCCGCTTTATTTAGTTTTCCTCTGTGTCTCTGCTTTGTGTCCTCGTGTCCGACGGTTGTACAGCTCGTTGTTGTGCAGATTTTATTATTATTATAAGTGTATAAGATGTGTTTTGCTTTGCATGGTTTCTATCCTGTGTGTTTCTGTATCTCAATGACTGCTTCTGTCCCCCCGCGCTCAGCTGTTGTTGGTTTTGTTTTGCACTTTAATTGAATATTGAATTTCGGGAAGTCGACGTTGGTCCAAAAAAAAAAGGAAAAAAAGTGTAAACGTTGCCCAATAATCTGCAGCTTGACTTCCTGTCTGAGGGACGGGCGACTCTCATGTGAATATATTTTTTCCTACCTGACGACTGGAATAAAGGAAGTGACGTTCTCTTCTCATTCTCCTCCCTGTTTATTAAAGTCTTCCCCTCTTTACTCTCACGTCCAGAGCATTAGGACTCATTCCTATTTCTTTAATTCCTTTGTTCTCTGTCCTTTAATCACTCGTTATATTCTGTCTCTAAACTGAGCTGTTCAGCATCTTAAAGGTAGGGTAGGTAATTCACTTCAGAAACACTTAAAGGTGGGGTAGGTAATTCACTTCAGAAACACTTAAAGGTGGGGTAGGTAAGTTTGAGAAACCGGCTCGAGATCGCTAGAATTTGAAAATAAAACAACCGGAGAAAATCTGCCACTTCCTTACTGAGCCCCTCCTCCAACACACACGAACGCGCACATGACCAATGAGGGCACGAGATAAGTTTGTGCACAGATGGAAGGCTGACAGGCAGGTAGGCCATCCAGTTATTTTAGCCGGGCCGGCTAAAATAATTGGTCGTGCTTTTTACAGTTTTACGGCTTCCACAGATGACATTTTTTTATGGATTTTTTGTCAAAGCACTTAAGATATTCATTGCTATCAGGATGTTAAGAGCATTCCATGGAATATAACAAAAGGTGTATCTCGAGCCGGTTTCTCAAACTTACCTACCCCACCTTTAAAGGTGGGGTAGGTAATTCACTTCAGAAACACTTAAAGGTGGGGTAGGTAATTCACTTCAGAAACACTTAAAGGTGGGGTAGGTCATTCACTTCAGAAACACTTAAAGGTGGGGTAGGTAATTCACTTCAGAAACACTTAAAGGTGGGGTAGGTCATTCACTTCAGAAACACTTAAAGGTAGGGTAGGTCATTCACTTCAGAAACACTTAAAGGTGGGGTAGGTCATTCACTTCAGAAACACTTAAAGGTAGGGTAGGTCATTCACTTCAGAAACACTTAAAGGTGGGGTAGGTAAGTTTGAGAAACCGGCTCGAGATCGCTAGAATTTGAAAATAAAACAACCGGAGAAAATCTGCCACTTCCTTACTGAGCCCCTCCTCCAACACACACGAACGCGCACATGACCAATGAGGGCACGAGATAAGTTTGTGCACAGATGGAAGGCTGACAGGCAGGTAGGCCATCCAGTTATTTTAGCCGGGCCGGCTAAAATAATTGGTCGTGCTTTTTACAGTTTTACGGCTTCCACAGATGACATTTTTTGTCAAAGCACTTAAGATATTCATTGCTATCAGGATGTTAAGAGCATTCCATGGAATATAACAAAAGGTGTATCTCGAGCCGGTTTCTCAAACTTACCTACCCCACCTTTAAAGGTGGGGTAGGTAATTCACTTCAGAAACACTTAAAGGTGGGGTAGGTAATTCACTTCAGAAACACTTAAAGGTGGGGGTAGGTCATTCACTTCAGAAACACTTAAAGGTGGGGTAGGTAATTCACTTCAGAAACACTTAAAGGTGGGGTAGGTCATTCACTTCAGAAACACTTAAAGGTAGGGTAGGTCATTCACTTCAGAAACACTTAAAGGTGGGGTAGGTCATTCACTTCAGAAACACTTAAAGGTAGGGTAGGTCATTCACTTCAGAAACACTTAAAGGTGGGGTAGGTAAGTTTGAGAAACCGGCTCGAGATCGCTAGAATTTGAAAATAAAACAACCGGAGAAAATCTGCCACTTCCTTACTGAGCCCCTCCTCCAACACACACGAACGCGCACATGACCAATGAGGGCACGAGATAAGTTTGTGCACAGATGGAAGGCTGACAGGCAGGTAGGCCATCCAGTTATTTTAGCCGGGCCGGCTAAAATAATTGGTCGTGCTTTTTACAGTTTTACGGCTTCCACAGATGACATTTTTTGTCAAAGCACTTAAGATATTCATTGCTATCAGGATGTTAAGAGCATTCCATGGAATATAACAAAAGGTGTATCTCGAGCCGGTTTCTCAAACTTACCTACCCCACCTTTAAAGGTGGGGTAGGTAATTCACTTCAGAAACACTTAAAGGTGGGGTAGGTAATTCACTTCAGAAACACTTAAAGGTGGGGTAGGTCATTCACTTCAGAAACACTTAAAGGTGGGGTAGGTAATTCACTTCAGAAACACTTAAAGGTGGGGTAGGTCATTCACTTCAGAAACACTTAAAGGTAGGGTAGGTCATTCACTTCAGAAACACTTAAAGGTGGGGTAGGTCATTCACTTCAGAAACACTTAAAGGTAGGGTAGGTCATTCACTTCAGAAACACTTAAAGGTGGGGTAAGTCATTCACTTCAGAAACACTTAAAGGTGGGGTAGGTAAGTTTGAGAAACCGGCTCGAGATCGCTAGAATTTGAAAATAAAACAACCGGAGAAAATCTGCCACTTCCTTACTGAGCCCCTCCTCCAACACACACGAACGCGCACATGACCAATGAGGGCACGAGATAAGTTTGTGCACAGATGGAAGGCTGACAGGCAGGTAGGCCATCCAGTTATTTTAGCCGGGCCGGCTAAAATAATTGGTCGTGCTTTTTACAGTTTTACGGCTTCCACAGATGACATTTTTTGTCAAAGCACTTAAGATATTCATTGCTATCAGGATGTTAAGAGCATTCCATGGAATATAACAAAAGGTGTATCTCGAGCCGGTTTCTCAAACTTACCTACCCCACCTTTAAAGGTGGGGTAGGTAAGGTAAGTCATTCACTTCAGAAACACTTAAAGGTGGGGTAGGTCATTCACTTCAGAAACACTTAAAGGTGGGGTAGGTCATTCACTTCAGAAACACTTAAAGATGGGGTAGGTAATTCACTTCAGAAACACTTAAAGGTAGGGTAGGTCATTCACTTCAGAAACACTTAAAGGTGGGGTAGGTCATTCACTTCAGAAACACTTAAAGGTAGGGTAGGTCATTCACTTCAGATGGAATGCTCTTAACATCCCGATAGCAATGAATACATTAAGAGTAGAAGTACTCAGGTCAGATAATGATCATTCTCATCTACTGATACCTGGAATTGAGGCCGTGTGTGCGCGCGCGTGTTAAGGCGGGCCTGCCTACAGCAGGTGATTTGTGTGCTTTTTAAAATAAAAAGCAACAAACCAAAACATGTAAGTAAACAGAAAACAAAACGTTTGTTTTTTTAATTTGCCTTTTTTTTCTGAACCGTTCTCCTGCTGCTCTTATTGTGAAAGGACTTGGCGGAAGTGTGGTTCTCCGGGACTGCGGCTGTCCTTTTGGCGGAAGTTGCGTCACAGCTGCTGCCTTAAAGCCGAGCCAGGCCAGAAAAACACATCAGAAACTCTGGACCAGATGTCCTGAAACCTGGATCTTTGACCCGGACCACCGCCAGGTTTTAACCCGGGATTCGAGCCTCAAACCCGGGTAGGTGCGCCTTTTTCCCCCCGGATGTTCTGGATGTTTGTCCCCGGGCGAAGGGCCTCTTTCTGCCCGGGGACAGGCTCTGAATCCGGGGTGTTTCCTCCTGATGATACCGGGGGGGGTTTCTGGTCTAAATGTACCGTAAATACTCTGATAAATACTACAGCTGAGATACTGCTAGCATGGCGCAGTATCTCAGTATCTGTGTTTGTATATCTCTATTTCCTCTTTTTGCTCACTATACAGGTTAGGGTTAAACTATACTGTGTGTGCTGTAGTGTACTCCCATAATACTCTATAATACAAGTACACATCTCCTGTAATACTACTCCTTCAGTGTACTCCCATAATACTCTATAATACAAGTACACATCTCCTGTAATACTACTCCTTCAGTGTACTTCCATAATACTCTATAATACAAGTACACACCTCTTGTAATAATACTCCTTTAGTGTACTCCCATAATACTCTATAATACAAGTACACACCTCCTGTAATAATACTCCTTTAGTGTACTCCCATAATACTCTATAATACAAGTACACACCTCTTGTAATAATACTCCTTTAGTGTACTCCCATAATACTCTATAATACAAGTACACACCTCCTGTAATAATACTCCTTTAGTGTACTCCCATAATACTCAATAATACAAGTACACATCTCGTGTGTGTGTGTGTATTATATACTTGTAATACTCCTGTAATATGTGATATACCACTTTCCCTTGCTCCCCTGTTTTAAACTATAACCAAAAACAAAGTTAACGGCTAAATTAAAATACATGTAGGTGTTATGTTTATCTCTCTCTGGTGTTTGACTTCACACTTTGACCTGAACTGCACACGTCATTCCCCTTAAATACTCCTTTAGTACTAAAGTACATCAGTGCTTAATAACAGTATAGTAATAATAATCTACCTGTAGTGCTCTTTAAAGAGTCCTCTCCTGCTGATGTTCAGGTGTATATCAGTATGTAGTGTCTATACTTTAAAGAGTCCTCTCCTGCTGATGTTCAGGTGTATATCAGTATGTAGTGTCTCTACTGTACTTCCTGCTGTGATGACCTCTGACCTTCTGATTGATCATCACAACAAATGGCTGACCTTTAGTCACATGATCTACAGACAAACATATCATTTACATTCAGAGGACTCTTTAAAGTAGAGACACTACATACTGATATACACCTGAACATCAGCAGGAGAGGACTCTTTAAAGTAGAGACACTACATACTGATATACACCTGAACATCAGCAGGAGAGGACTCTTTAAAGTAGAGACACTACATACTGATATACACCTGAACATCAGCAGGAGAGGACTCTTTAAAGTAGAGACACTACATACTGATATACACCTGAACATCAGCAGGAGAGGACTCTTTAAAGTAGAGACACTACATACTGATATACACCTGAACATCAGCAGGAGAGGACTCTTTAAAGTAGAGACACTACATACTGATATACACCTGAACATCAGCAGGAGAGGACTCTTTAAAGTAGAGCCACTACATACTGATATACACCTGAACATCAGCAGGAGAGGACTCTTTAAAGTGGAGCCACTACATACTGATATACACCTGAACATCAGCAGGAGAGGACTCTTTAAAGTAGAGACACTACATACTGATATACACCTGAACATCAGCAGGAGAGGACTCTTTAAAGTAGAGACACTACATACTGATATACACCTGAACATCAGCAGGAGAGGACTCTTTAAAGTAGAGACACTACATACTGATAAACACCTGAACATCAGCAGGAGAGGACTCTTTAAAGTAGAGCCACTACATACTGATATACACCTGAACATCAGCAGGAGAGGACTCTTTAAAGTAGAGCCACTACATACTGATATACACCTGAACATCAGCAGGAGAGGACTCTTTAAAGTAGAGCCACTACATACTGATATACACCTGAACATCAGCAGGAGAGGACTCTTTAAAGTAGAGACACTACATACTGATATACACCTGAACATCAGCAGGAGAGGACTCTTTAAAGTAGAGACACTACATACTGATATACACCTGAACATCAGCAGGAGAGGACTCTTTAAAGTAGAGCCACTACATACTGATATACACCTGAACATCAGCAGGAGAGGACTCTTTAAAGTAGAGACACTACATACTGATATACACCTGAACATCAGCAGGAGAGGACTCTTTAAAGTAGAAACACTACATACTGATATACACCTGAACATCAGCATGAGAGGACTCTTTAAAATAGAGACACGACATACTGATATACACCTGGACATCAGCAGGTTGTGTGGTTGGAGCAGTGTTTCTAGAAATGGTTTCAACAGGGCGAACAGCTGTTATTGTAATGTTCCCAGCCCGACTGCCTGCACCTGTGTGTGAGTAACACTGGGTGATTAAAGGGTTAAAATGTTTCAGTTATTAAACCTTTGAATCTCTTTCTCTCTAGGTGTGTTTTTCCAAGATGGCGGACGCCGAGGTGTCCCTCTCCCCCGCTCTTCTTCACCTAAGCCCCGCCCCCTCTGCCATAAGCCCCGCCCCCGCTGTCCCCCCTCCCACCCCTGGCGCCTCCTCCTCCCCCACCACTTTCTCCTGCCCCTCCTCCCCCTCCAGTGCCTCCTCTTCCTCCTCCTCTTCATCCTCCTCCTGTTGTTCTGAGAGCTCTTCTGACTGCCCTCACCACCATCATCATCATCACCTTCATCACTCGCAGCGCCCCAAACTGCAGCCGCCTCCCCCCCCCCACAGCGAGCAGCCCTCCTCCCCCAGTGCTAGCCCACGTAGCTCCTCTCCTAGCGGTAGCATCGGTAGCACAGGTAGCATTGGGAGCAGCAGCGAGGGTATCGGCAGCGAGTCGTCCAGAGGACAGACTCCTCCGTTAGACATCATCTCTGAGGACCACATGGAGATGGACCTGAGGGCGGACCAGGGTGAGGGGCCAGGCCTTAGGATACCCTCATACTGTTATAACAATACGATTATACTTTAAAGGTCACCTATTATGCAAAATACACTTTTTCATGTCTTTTATCATAAATATAATGATTTAAAGTGGACCTATCATGCTATATTTGAATAATATAGTGTAGGACCATACCTATATAAGGCATATTTATACTTTTTTTTTTTCAAAATACCAAACCGATCATGCATTTTAGCCATGCCTCATTTTGCTCAATTTGACATTTTTTAGCTCTGTTTTTGCAAGGGCTGATTCAGTGAGAACAGCACCATCTACAGGCCTGGCATAAGTACTACAGCGTCTCCAGCGCTTTCGAACGGCAATGGCCGTGGCTGTCTCCTCCTGATTGGTGGAGTTGGCCCAATAGCCGTAGCGCCACCGTCCTGACGTCAGGACAGTGTTCAAATCTGGATCAGTTTTTATCAGATCCGTTGCAGCCCCTTTTTTAGAGATTTGGGTATGGAGGAAAATAGAGAGGGTTGTGTTTTCTGACACTTGGTGAGTTCCCTGGAACACCGGGGACACATATTCATGTATAAAAGACGTACAAAAGTGCATTTTGCATGATAGGTCCCCTTTAAGTTGCAAACAGATGAATGTTCTTTCAAAAGTTCAGGTGTTTAACAAACAAACGGAGATGGACCTGGGGATCAGGGTAAAGACACACAGAGAAGAACTCATTCATTATTCATGTTTTATTATCTTTGCTTTTCAATGAGTGTTTTAAAATGCCAAAAAACATAAAAACGGATTTTGAAAATGATAATATTTGTACTATGGGTAACACTGCCTGAGGACGCCATGGAGATGGACCTGAGGGCGGATCAGGGTGCACACAGAGAAGAACTTATTATATCCTGATATTTTAGATTGAAGTAGGAGGGGTATTCCCATCAAACCCCAATGTTTAATGTGCGATGGGCTCATTGAGGCTGTTCCCAGGTCTACACAGAGCAGTCTCCCTTGCTATCAAAACTGTTATTTGTAACCATCAACACTTCATTCTGTCTGCGTTTGTTTCTGATCTCCCTGACGCCTCGTTGTTCTGCTCTCAGTGATCGACCCTGAAGTGGCTCTGAAGGCCTGCCAGGAGGTCCTGCTCCAAGTGAAGCTGCTGAACAGAGAGGTGTGTGAGCAGCAACACGTGGACAACAAACAGGAACTGGAACAACAACAACAGGGCGATCATCAACAACAACAACAGCAACAGGACGATCATCAACAGGAAGATCATCATCATCAACAACAACAGGACGATCAACAACAGCAACCACAACTACTGGACGATCAACAACAGCAACCACACCAACAGGACGACGATCAACAACAACAACAACAACAAGCAGAGATCTCTGGTCCTCAGTGGGTCATCAGCCCGGACACCAGCTCCATCAAGGAGGAAGACGAGGAGGAAGTAGAAGAAGGTAGTTCTGTGAAAGATGAAGTAAAACAAAATGGCGTTTCTTCCCAGCGAGATGCTCCTCCTCCTCCTCCTTCCTCTTCTTCTTCTTCATCCTCTCGACCGGAGTCTTCCTCGCTGCTCGCTACCCCCTCTTCGTCCAAACAGTCGTGGCTGCTCCGCCTGTTCGAGTCCAAGCTGTTTGACGTCTCCATGGCGATCTCCTACCTGTATAAGTCGAAAGAGCCGGGGGTGCAGGCGTACATTGGGAACCGTCTGTTCAGCTTCACCGACAGCGAGGTGGACTTCTACCTCCCTCAGCTGCTCAACATGTACGTGCACATGGACACGGAGGTGGGGGACGCCATCAGCCCCTACCTGGTGAGTAAACTACAGATTACAGTTACGTCAGCCCCTACCTGAGGCCTGTACTACGAAGCTGGTTCAACCTAACCTGGATATGTTGGAGTTAGCCGGTTGGCCTAAGCCAAAACATACGCGCTGGCGCTAAGCTGTACTACGACGCTGGTTATCAAGTGGATCGCTCAAGCCAGCCGTGTCCTATCTAGTTAGGTGCGCGTTCACATGAAAGGGGTGGTATTTGGAGCATTCGACCAATCTCAAACACGGAGAAGCGTACTGACAGCGCAGCGTCATACTTCCTGAATGAAAAGTGAACTTTAATATTAGTCAAATATGAAGAAGTTAAACTTTAAACATCCATGACTTAAACACTTTATCCAGGATAAAAGCCACATAGCTGCACCTGCAAGGTGAATACAGCTGGTAAAAGAAAAAGTGTTTTGAATGCGTACATTAACAGGTTTATGAAATCACTGCCCCGTCCAAGACACGAGTGGATCTGACTTTAATTACATTTGACTCCAGTGTTTCGTCAACTTAATGTGTTGCTTAAAATAATACTTCTGCATACAGTATGTGACACTGTGAGTGTTGCACGGCCAGATACGGCTCAGCTGACTCAGATAAGGAAATATATGATACATTATGATGTGATATGATATGAATGATAATGGGACACATCGACGTCTGCACTCACAGTGCCGCGGACTGTACGTAATGTTACTCTGATCCGGTTACTTATGTTGTGGCAGATATTTAAGTAAGCTTTCTTAACGCTAATGTTATAATAGTCAGATTGCTCTGAAGATGGGAGGGGATATTCTATTAATGTTCACGTTCACACAGTCAGTTGATTTTGGCCGGCAGTCTTTCCTGCAACGGCAGTTTTTCTGTATTTCCTCTATCCTGTAATATGAATTGATCGCTTTAAACTCCGCACACGGAGCTCTGATTGGTCAGCAGGCGGTGCTTTCACTGAGTTGATCTCTTAGCCTGCCACCTAACCTGCTCCGGAGCAGGTTAGCCGCTCAGCATAAATTATCATGGAAATCTAGCCCGCTAAAAAGAGAACCAGCGTCGTAGGACCGGAAAGCCCGAGTTTTCCCTGAAGTTAGCCGGCTGAGCGAAAATCCGGCTTCGTAGTACAGGCCTCAGGTCTCTAAAGATTACAGTTAGCATCAGTCCCTACCTGGTGAGTCCTGTTCTCTATAGATTACAGTTAGCCCCTATAGATTACAGTTAGCCCCTATAGATTACAGTTAGCCCCTATAGATTACAGTTAGCATCAGCCCCTACCTGGTAAATTCTGTTCTCTATAGATTACAGTTAGCCCCTATAGATTACAGTTGGCATCAGCCCCTACCTGGTGAGTTCTGTTCTCTATAGATTACAGTTAGCCCCTATAGATTACAGTTAGCATCAGTCCCTACCTGGTGAGTCCTGTTCTCTATAGATTACAGTTAGCCCCTATAGATTACAGTTAGCCCCTATAGATTACAGTTAGCATCAGCCCCTACCTGGTAAATTCTGTTCTCTATAGATTACAGTTAGCCCCTATAGATTACAGTTAGCATCAGCCCCTACCTGGTGAGTTCTGTTCTCTATAGATTACAGTTGGCATCAGCCCCTACCTGGTGAGTCCTGTTCTCTATAGATTACAGTTAGCATCAGCCCCTACCTGGTGAGTCCTGTTCTCTATAGATTACAGTTAGCATCAGCCCCTACCTGGTGAGTCCTGTTCTCTATAGATTACAGTTAGCATCAGCCCCTACCTGGTGAGTCCTGTTCTCTATAGATTACAGTTAGCATCAGCCCCTACCTGGTGAGTCCTGTTCTCTATAGATTACAGTTAGCATCAGTCCCTACCTGGTGAGTTCTGTTCTCTATAGATTACAGTTAGCATCAGCCCCTACCTGGTGAGTCCTGTTCTCTATAGATTACAGTTAGCATTAGTCCCTACCTGGTGAGTTCTGTTCTCTAAAGATTACAGTTAGCATCAGCCCCTACCTGGTGAGTCCTGTTCTCTATAGATTACAGTTAGCATCAGCCCCTACCTGGTGAGTCCTGTTCTCTATAGATTACAGTTAGCATTAGCCCCTACCTGGTGAGTCCTGTTCTCTATAGATTACAGTTAGCATCAGTCCCTACCTGGTGAGTCCTGTTCTCTATAGATTACAGTTAGCATTAGTCCCTACCTGGTGAGTCCTGTTCTCTATAGATTACAGTTAGCATCAGCCCCTACCTGGTGAGTCCTGTTCTCTATAGATTACAGTTAGCATCAGCCCCTACCTGGTGAGTCCTGTTCTCTATAGATTACAGTTAGCATCAGTCCCTACCTGGTGAGTCCTGTTCTCTATAGATTACAGTTAGCATTAGTCCCTACCTGGTGAGTCCTGTTCTCTATAGATTACAGTTAGCATTAGTCCCTACCTGGTGAGTCCTGTTCTCTATAGATTACAGTTAGCATCAGCCCCTACCTGGTAAATTCTGTTCTCTATAGATTACAGTTAGCATCAGCCCCTACCTGGTAAATTCTGTTCTCTATAGATTACAGTTAGCATCAGTCCCTACCTGGTAAATTCTGTTCTCTATAGATTACAGTTAGCATCAGCCCCTACCTGGTGAGTCCTGTTCTCTATAGATTACAGTTAGCATCAGTCCCTACCTGGTGAGTCCTGTTCTCTATAGATTACAGTTAGCATCAGTCCCTACCTGGTGAGTCCTGTTCTCTAAAGATTACAGTTAGCATCAGTCCCTACCTGGTGAGTTCTGTTCTCTATAGATTACAGTTAGCATCAGTCCCTACCTGGTGAGTCCTGTTCTCTATAGATTACAGTTAGCATCAGCCCCTACCTGGTGAGTCCTGTTCTCTATAGATTACAGTTAGCATCAGTCCCTACCTGGTGAGTCCTGTTCTCTATAGATTACAGTTAGCATCAGTCCCTACCTGGTGAGTCCTGTTCTCTATAGATTACAGTTAGCATCAGCCCCTACCTGGTGAGTCCTGTTCTCTATAGATTACAGTTAGCATCAGTCCCTACCTGGTGAGTTCTGTTCTCTATAGATTACAGTTAGCATCAGTCTCTACCTGGTGAGTCCTGTTCTCTAAACTATAGATTACAGTAAGCATCAGCCCCTACCTGGTGAGTCCTGAGACGACTTTCTGTTGGTTTCTGACTGTAGAAGTTTGTTGATTTCACTTCACCTGAGTCGAGTGTCTGTTATCTAAACTTCTACAGTCGGTTGGACTGTAGAAGTTTAGATAACAGACACTCGACTCGAGACGACGTGCCACTGAGATGGATACTTGGCATTGTTTTGGCATTTGTCCTAGATGAGGTTCTGTTTACCTGGTGGGCGTTCCCTTTGGCTGAAGAGGTTCCAGTTGTCCTGGATGAGGTTCTTGTTGGTCTAACGGGGGTTAGATTGGTTTAGCAAAGATTACAGTTAGGACGTTTTTCCTTGTCCGATGTGAGGGTCAGAGGTCAGAGGACAGAGGCTGTCGTATTGATATTCTCTACAAACTGTAAAGTCCACTGAGACGAAGGTAACATTGATTGATTGATTTGTCTCTCTCAGATCCACCGCTGTCGAGGAGGCATCACCTTCTCCCTGCTGACGGCCTGGCTGCTGGGAGCGTATTCCTCTGACATGCACATCTCCACCCAGCGTCACTCCAGAGGAAACAAGCTGCGGAAACTCATCCTGTCCGACGAGCTGAAGCCCTCTAACCCTCCAGCTGACCCTCAGCGCGGGGGGTCTGTCTCCGGCAGCCCCTCTCCGTCTCATCGCCGCTGCCACCGCCGCCACAACAGCAACAACAACGTGGACTCAGCGTCTCCGTTTCCCCCCCCAGAGAGTCCCGTTCTGGGGGAGGGCGAGATGTTCGTCTCCCCCTCCAGGAAGACCCACCAGAGGTCAAAGTCTGATGTGAACACAGCCAGCAGTGGGTTTGGATCCGGCCTCAGGAGGACAGGAAGTAACCCCAGAGTGGAGGCCGTGCCGGAGGAGGTGAGGCTTTTATTTTGAAACTCGTCTCAGAATCCCAACCAGGTTTATCACCAGGTAGCATGACACGTACGAGGAATTTGACTTGGTGTTATGGTGCATACATAAAAGTCAAACAAAAAGTAAAAACACAGAAAACTATTTAACTCATTGTTGGGAGGTGGGATTTATAAAAGTTAAATAAAATACTGAGATTTTTTTTTTGAAAGTCATCTTTGTGTTGGGAGTGTTTGGTTTTATAAAAGTTAAATACTGAGGCTTTTATTTAGTAACTAAACAGTTAAATAAAGTACTGCCACTAATAGAGAGACAGGCCAAGATGATATTGAACATATCTGTAAATATATATACAATAATTAACCCGTGATATCTCCTCTCTGCAGCTGGAGCGTCTTCGGCCTCAGAGAGAACTGGTGAAGTCTCTGCTGGGCATCGGGAGGCGTTTGGCGACGCTGCCGACCAAAGAGCAGAAGACTCAGCGTCTGATCTCTGAACTCTCGCTGCTGAACCACAAGCTGCCCGCTCGAGTCTGGATGCCCACCGCTGAGAACCAGCATCACGTCGTCAGGATCCCAAACACCCAGGCTGTGGTGCTCAACTCCAAGGACAAGGTAACACCGTTAGCTTAGCATAGAGACAAGGGAACACCGTAAGCTTAGCATAGAGACAAGGGATCACTGTTTGCTTAGCATAGAGACAAGGGAACAACGTTAGCTTAGCATAGAGACAAGGGAACATCACACACACCTGAGACTGTTAGCTTAGCATAGAGACAAGGGAACACCGTTAGCTTATCATAGAGACAAGGTAACACCGTTAGCTTAGCATAGAGACAAGGGAACACCGTTAGCTTAGCAGAGAGACAAGGGAACACCGTTAGCTTAGCAGAGAGACAAGGGAACACCGTTAGCTTAGCATAGAGACAAGGTAACACCGTTAGCTTAGCATAGAGACAAGGTAACCACACACACACCTGAGACTGTTAGCTTAGCATAAAGACAAGGGAACACCGTTAGCTTAGCATAGAGACAAGGTAACACCACACACACACACCTGAGACTGTTAGCTTAGCATTAAGACAAGGGAACACCATTAGCTTAGCATAGAGACAAGGTAACACCACACAGACCTGGGAACACACCTGAGAACACTGTTAGCTTAGCATAGAGACAAGGTAACACCGTTAGCTTAGCATAGAGACAAGGGAACACCGTTAGCTTAGCATAGAGACAAGGTAACACCACACACACCTGGGAACACACCTGAGAACACTGTTAGCTTAGCATAATGACAAGGGAACACCGTTAGCTTAGCATAGAGACAAGGTAACACCACACACACACCTGAGACTGTTAGCTTAGCATAAAGACAAGGGAACACCGTTAGCTTAGCATAGAGACAAGGTAACACCACACACACCTGGGAACACACCTGAGAACACTGTTAGCTTAGCATAGAGACAAGGTAACACCGTTAGCTTAGCATAGAGACAAGGGAACACCGTTAGCTTAGCATAGAGACAAGGTAACACCACACACACCTGGGAACACACCTGAGAACACTGTTAGCTTAGCATAGAGACAAGGTAACACCGTTAGCTTAGCATAGAGACAAGGGAACACCGTTAGCTTAGCATAGAGACAAGGTAACACCACACACACCTGGGAACACACCTGAGAACACTGTTAGCTTAGCATAATGACAAGGGAACACCGTTAGCTTAGCATAGAGACAAGGTAACACCACACACACACCTGAGACTGTTAGCTTAGCATAAAGACAAGGGAACACCGTTAGCTTAGCATAGAGACAAGGTAACACCACACACACCTGGGAACACACCTGAGAACACTGTTAGCTTAGCATAGAGACAAGGTAACACCACACACACCTGAGACTGTTAGCTTAGCATAAAGATAAGGTAACACCACACACACCTGGGAACACACCTGAGAACACTGTTAGCTTAGCATAGAGACAAGGTAACACCACACACACCTGAGACTGTTAGCTTAGCATAAAGACAAGAGAGAGATGTCTTTCTGGTTCTTTAATCATTTGCAAAAGAGGCAAACAACATGAAGAGCAATGTCTCCACACTGAAGAGAGAGCTTTTATACAGTTACAATGAAGACGTAAGACATGCTTAGTCATGAGATAACTGACCCCTGACCCTATCAATAGACCCCTGATCAGGTCACTGTGTGGTCACATGACACCTTGTGACTGACAGGGTGCGTACGGGTGCTGGAAATCCTTGAAAATGCTTGAAATTGTACGAGGTGTTTTCAAGGTTTGAAAAGTGCTTGAATTTTGGGAATGGTGCTTGAATTTGGGATAAAGTGCTTGAAATTGTAAATGCTTTACTTCGCTTTTTAGATTAAAAGAAAATAAAGAAGTCGGAGCGCGCTTAATTGCTTCGCTTTTACATAAAACAGCTCCACTCCGGCCTTCCCGCGCAATGCGCGTGACCGGCAAGTGTTTTTGTTACGTGTGTGACCTGGGCATTCTGATGAGAGTGATAGATGACAGTATGCCAGGAGGTTGCCGTGTCAACGAGCGTTGGCTAGCAGAAGACAAATACAAGCCATGGCTAAGACGAGGGTCAAGCGAAGCCCAAGAGTAGCCTCCTGCAAAGTGTGCAACAATAACGATGCGAGAGTCTGCGTTGACGAGCCACACACCACACGAAAGGTACGCCGTAGTTGAGCATTTTAGATTAGGCTAATGTAACGTTGCATGTAAAATACATGACACTTTTCTCTGTGCGCGGCAAAACAAGCTCGCCAAAATGGCTTCACTAGTCTGGCAGTATTTTAAGTGTCCGAAAATGACAATAAAATAGCGGTATGCAACGTGTGTGTGAAGCAGAAATCCTGCAGCTCCACCCGCTGTGACGGACCGGTGAGCGGAGCAGAACACACATTAAGAGTTAGACCTAACACACTTATGGCGCGTTTCCACTACAGCGCGCAGCCCGGTTTAAGAGGGCTGTGACGTCAGCGGCCCGTCTTTGGTTGCGTTTCCACTTGGCCTAGTACCGGCCGGCGGGTCCTAATTCACAGTTTTTCTGGCCTCATAAAATCGCGGGTCTAGGGCCAGAGACAACGAGGCTGAGTCGGGCTGAGTATGCTAAACTAGAGAGAGCATCGCTGGCAAGGGGGCTACAACTACAACAAGATGGACATATTTGACCGTGATTTAATTGTAATACACGTTTCAAAATGATGCCGAAGTAACAACATACTGATACCGGTTAGTAAAAACCATGAATTAATGCTTTGTCAAGTTTGCAGACAGACGGCAGGCGAAAAACCTTTTAAAATGCGTGTGTTCTAAATGGAGATTGGCTAAGCTAACGCAGTATATGCTCCGACCGTCCACACTCACAACAATGGCCTATACAGACATAAATAAAGCAGCGACTGTATTCACCATGACACAGGCAGTCTGTGGTTTGTACTTGTTTAACTTTTGTCTAGTTTCTGAACATATATGAGGAGCTGTGAGCTCTGAGTGCTAACAGCTAACGGCTGTGTTGTTTTTTCTGGGGTTCTCTGAAGATCACGTCACGGCTCCGCCTACACTGCGTTACTATAGATACTACCCCAGTTCCTAAACTGTAATGGAAATGCGCCATAAAGTGAGCCAGTCCAGGGCCGAGCGAGGTCGTGTAGTGGAAACGCGCCATTAGCTATTTTATCTACCTCTGGAACAAGCTGATTCCGGCGATCGGCCCCAAAATTGGCGATCGGACCATCCCTAATAATTGTATATGATATGTTTTATAATGATTGATCATTAAAGTGTTATCAAAGCTGGTAAAGGTGCAGCTAGTTTGAATGACTTTGTATACTGCAGGGTAGCTTGTGAATTTACTCCAGGTGGAACTAAAGTCTGATTTAACACTTGATTATATTTCACATCATTCATCCACATCTGTGAAGTAACTAAAGGTATTAAATACATGTAGTGGAGTAAAAGTAAACCATTTACCTCTGACTTGTGTTTACTGCCAACCTAAAAGTACCTCAAAAATAGTAATCAATAATGTATTGAAAAGTTATTTGGCTGATTGTTTTATATTGGCTCAGCCAGGTTATATGGGATGCCCAGTCTACGTACAGATGGGTCACTCATTTTGAAATATTAAACTTAGTTTTCTTTTCTAAAAATTTAAATTGTTCATCCTCATGTAGAATGCTATTATGATACACACATTTGGTTGTTTATAGCATAAAGAACATCTGATTTAATGTGAGGTAGGGAAATAATCATTTGAGTATAAGTATGTGTATATAAATATGTAATTTACAACAGCTGTAAGATGCTTGAAAAGCTTGAAAATGCACCTTGAAAATGCTTGAAAAGTGCTTGAATTTGACTTTGGAAAAGGTGTAAGAACCCTGGACTGATCACCTTCCTGAGTGCTGAGACCTACTGTCTCTCGACATGTAAGGCTTTCAGAATTGTATTATTTATATGTTAAATATAACATCATAGCATTCAATTCACTGATAATCATAATTTCCATTACAGTAACACACCTGAGAGCACCGTTAGCTTAGCAATATGACAAGGTAACACCTGACACAGGTAACTACAGTGTGAAAAGCATTAGAAACCACAAAGACTTACAATTAATGCAATCAACTCTGAAGAAATAAACTCGGAACAAAGACTAGAAGTAGGTGTAAACTGTTAGCCTAGCTTAGAAAACACAGGTAGAAACGGTTAGCCTAGCTTAGGAAACACAGGTAGAAACGGTTAGCCTAGCTTAGGAAACACAGGTAGAAACGGTTAGCCTAGCTTAGGAAACACAGGTAGAAACTGTTAGCCTAGCTTAGGAAACACAGGTAGAAACTGTTAGCCTAGCTTAGGAAACACAGGTAGAAACTGTTAGCCTAGCTTAGGAAACACAGGTAGAAACTGTTAGCCTAGCTTAGGAAACACAGGTAGAAACTGTTAGCCTAGCTTAGGAATCACAGGTAGAAACTGTTAGCCTAGCTTAGGAAACGCAGGTAGAAACTGTTAGCCTAGCTTAGGAAACGCAGGTAGAAACTGTTAGCCTAGCTTAGGAAACGCAGGTAGAAACTGTTAGCCTAGCTTAGGAATCACAGGTAGAAACTGTTAGCCTAGCTTAGGAAACGCAGGTAGAAACTGTTAGCCTAGCTTAGGAAACGCAGGTAGAAACTGTTAGCGTACAGTTTTAACGGATAGAGCTGTGTTCCAGGCTCCCTACCTCATCTACGTGGAGGTTCTGGAGTGCCAGAGCTATGAAACGTCTCCGGTTCCGACCCGGATCCCAGAGACCAGGATCCGCTCGGCTCGATCCGCGGAGAGCCTGGACTGCGGCGCCTCCGCGGCTAATGCTAACGCTAACCTCAGCACGATGACATCAGAGCATCGAGCCGGGAGCTTCTCCACCGTCCCGAATTACGACAACGACGACGAGGCCTGGGCAACCGACGACATCGGGCAGCTGCAGGTGGAGGTGAGGGGGGAGAGGTGTCATTTAGATATAATAAGAACTACTTTATTTGTATTTATGTTATTATTATTATTATTATTATTATTATAATACAGTGAGAGAACTCTCCCTGGTCCCCGGCTTGAGCTTCAATATCAGGATCCATGTATTTGTGATCCTCTCCAGAATGGAAGGAGTCATCACATACAGAGCATCAACTAGTTCCTGAACAGTGTCCTTCACATGCTGATATCCAAGAGAGGGAGTTACACAGTCACAAGATGGAGGAATAGAAAGCAGTATTCAATGTTTACTTCAGATTAGCTCCACGTCAGAAATGATCATGCTTGTCATATGTCTATCTCCATAGAGGCTGAATCATCATGTTAATCACATAGCTATCATATGCCTAAAACAGTCCTGATGCTCTTCTAGGTAATCATACATCCTGTCATGTACTCAGCTACAGTTGGGATACCTTTGTTAGCATGGTACTTTCATATACAGTATGTGTTCTATGTATATGTTGCAGGTGGAGGTAGAGATCTGCAGACTGTGCTATCAGATCATTATTCTGACTGTATTTATTCTAATGGGTATGATAATAATGTGTGTCCAGGTGGAGGCTCAGACCAGCAGCTCTGATAACATCAGTCAATTTTCAGTGGACAGCATCACGAGTCTGGAGAGCCGAGAGCCGGTGTTCATCGCCGCCGGAGACATCAGGTACTCTATACATTTATATATATATATATATATATATACACACACACACATCAGAGGTTGCACTAGACTTTTTCGCTGCCCGCCATTTTGACGGACAGGATCGCAACATTTCCGTCAAAATCCATTATTACCCGTCGGCCTGTACACAACTCTGCCGGGGGGGGGGCGGAGAGAGCACGCTCGCGAACTGTCAACGGGGGGTGGACGCTCGCTCGTGAACTGTTAGCGCCGTGTTATGCATGCCCACAGCACCTCGCGGGAGTGCGCACAGCGTAAAGCAAATACTTTTGTTGATCTGTTCGGCAAAGTTAGGTTTGGAAACTATATCATTTCCTTTTGGGCGGGCATGCATAACACGGCATAATACCGGAGCTCCGCTGCGGGGATACTTTGGCGCTTTTCTGAGCTTTCAGATTTTTCCGTCATTGTTAAAAAAAAATCCGTCATAGGCGAAAGATATTCGGTTAACGCGACCTCTGGTATACATATACAAGTACACACATGTGTCCCCCCTTTCCACAGAGGGGACACATGTTGATGTAGAAGAGACATGGAGAAGAGGATTTTACAGAATAGGTGACCTTTAAAATAAAGTGTTCTATTGGTTCTCCTGGTTCTCCTGGTTCTCCTGGTTCTCCTGTTCTCAGGCGGCGCCTCTCGGAGAACCTCGCCCAGACGCCCACTTCGTTCCGCAGAGATCCTGAGGATCCGTCTGCTGTCGCCCTGAAGGAACCCTGGGAGGAGAAAGTCAGGTGAGACGCGCTCTGATGATGTCATGTTCCTCACCGTTCATTGGTTAATATCTCAGGCGTTGTTTACCTAAAAACATAAAGAAGTACTTTATTGATCCCTGTGTGTGTGTGTGTGTGTGTGTGTGTGTGTGTGTGTGTGTAGTAGGATCAGGGAGGGCTCTCCCTACGGTCACCTGCTGAACTGGAGGCTGCTCTCAGTGATCGTGAAGTGTGGAGACGACCTGAGGCAGGAGCTGCTGGCCTATCAGGTGCTGCGGCAGCTGCAGGTAAACACACCTGGATCAATACTATTAATTGTATTACTGTTATCAGTTTCTTAATATGTTCACTAATGTGCATGCAGAGCATCTGGCAGCAGGAGAGGGTTCCTCTGTGGATCAAACCCTATAAGATCATGGTGATGTCATCAGACAGCGGCATGATCGAACCGGTGCTCAACGCCGTGTCCCTGCACCAGGTGAGAATACACATACTGCATATACTCTAAAGTACCAGGTGAGAATACATATACTGCATATACTCTGAAGTACCAGGTGAGAATACACACATACTGCATATACTCTAAAGTACCAGGTGAGAATACATATACTGCATATACTCTGAAGTACCAGGTGATACTCTGAAGTACCAGGTGATACTCTGAAGTACCAGGTGATACTCTGAAGTACCAGGTGATACTCTGAAGTACCAGGTGATACTCTCAAGTACCAGGTGATACTCTCAAGTACCAGGTGATACTCTCAAGTACCAGGTGATACTCTCAAGTACCAGGTGATACTCTCAAGTACCAGGGGATACTCTCAAGTACCAGGTGATAATACACATATACTACAAATACTCTAAAGTACTGTTTCTCTGAGTACTTTCTTAAAGTTCTGCACTATAATACCTGTTTGTTTTCCTCTCATGCTGCTTTCTACTTCTTTCGTCATTTCATAAATGAAGATACTTTTTATGACTTTTGAATGACTTTTTATGACTGTTTACCCCCCCCTCTCTCACCTCCCCCCCCCCCCCCCCCCCCAGGTGCGTAAGCAGAGCCAGCTGTCCCTGATGGATTACTTCCTGCAGGAACACGGCAGCTTCACGACTGAAGAGTTCCTGTCGGCTCAGAGGAACTTCGTCCAGAGCGTCGCTGGATATTCACTGATCTGCTACCTGCTGCAGGTCAAAGACAGGTGAGGGGCGGGGCTACCTGCTGCAGGTCAAAGACAGCTGAGGGGCGGGGCTACCTGCTGCAGGTCAAAGACAGGTGAGGGGCGGGGCTACCTGCTGCAGGTCAAAGACAGGTGAGGGGCGGGGCTACCTGCTGCAGGTCAAAGACAGGTGAGGGGGCGGGGCTACCTGCTGCAGGTTAAAGACAGGTGAGGGGGCGGGGCTACCTGCTGCAGGTTAAAAACAGGTGAGGGGGGGAAGTCTGTAACGTTCTAGAGAAATTAAGTAGATGTCAGTAACTCTGAAATTACACAATTCCCCAAAACTCCCATCATGCTCTCCTTTCATGCGGCTTTCACACCAGCGCTTTTCCCTTTCTAGCTCCTAGCGAGAGCTTTTCTGGTTCAGCTCCGGTTTCCCTTTTCAGCTCCCGCTCTGTTCACACCGCCCAGAGCTGCCGAGAGATTTTCTCCCACAACAACAACGGGCCGGGGACTGCGTCGGGTCGACGATCGTGTTGCTTTTAATCATACGAAGCCAGATTAAATTAAATAACGACTTCTCCAACCTTATACTTTTCTCCAGAGTGCCGTGGTTCATTGTTTATTAATGTGTTTCAGCGGCATTTACCGACCGCTGCAGTGCTGGCTGCTCTTCAACGGGAGTGTATTCTCCCGTTAGCTCCGGGTTAGCTCACACGGCTCTAAAGTATTCACTGTCTGACTGTCACACAAGCAGCTGATACATATCCCCAGTTCCCCTTAAGTGAATGTGTGTCAGTCTGAATTGACGCTGTTTGGCATCACAACGCTGTTATGAAAGTTTCTCTGGTATAACATGGGTGATGTTAGCATAGCAACCGAAGCTAAACTGACTACTTGCTAAGCCGTTTTCTACAGGCACTTTTTACCGGCGTATTTTTCATTATGATTCTACTTGTGATAGTCGGACATGACAACCTGTGCAGCCCATGTATTGATTCCATCCGATAGCTGCTATAATAACAAACAAAACGTCTGCCTGCTCTCCACAATGATCAATAACAGCGAACGGATGGTCAAAGTAAGGTTTCCTGCACGCCTCGACGTAAGCGACGCCGCGTCATAGCTCCAAAGCTCTTGCCTCTGGACCGACAACTTTTTGGAGCTGGAAGTGAACCGCATTCCGGAGCTATGACGTGCCGCCGCTGCGGTGTGAACTGGAAAAACCGGCGCTTTTCAGGCTCTAGCTCCCAGCAGGAGCTGGAAAAGCGCCGGTGTGAAAGGGGCATTAGTGACCCTCAGAAACCTTACTGGTCCCTTTGGAGGACACCTCTTGATGCTAAGCTAACGGTGCTGTATGTTGTCTCTCTTTAGACACAACGGGAACATCCTCCTGGACTCTGAAGGTCACATCATCCACATCGACTTCGGCTTCATCCTCTCCAGCTCGCCTCGAAACCTCGGCTTCGAAACGTCCGCCTTCAAACTCACCTCGGAGTTTGTGGACGTGAGTTTCATCTGTTTGCATTTTGCTGTTTATTTATCTATATATCATATTCCATCTACTTATAAAGACTCTTATGGCACTATTTCTATTTTATTTATATATAATTGCACATCTCAAAACATTCTCTTGCACTATTTGATCTGTTATCAAATGAATGCAATGATATGTATGAAAACACATTCAGGTTATTCTGCTAAAGTATTGTTTTCATTGATACATTATTAGCAGATGTAATGGATGTGTAGATTCGGTGATCTCAACATTCAGCCTAGAGAATGAACACCCGCAGCAACACATGTTCAACTCATTTTCAGGATATGTATCTGCTGTTATCTATAGATTCATGTTGCTCTGTTGGAGGAGGACTTCAGTTTCTCATTTCCATATCTACACTGTAGCTGCTGAGCACGTGATGATAGAACTGAATCTTTGGTTCTCTGAGTTCCTGCTGAATGCCACGTCTTGATTTGTTGAAGTGACTGACATGTGTTTCAGGTGATGGGGGGTCTGGACGGAGACATGTTCATCTACTACAAGATGCTGATGCTGCAGGGTCTCATTGCGGCTCGGAAACACATGGAGAAGGTTCTGCAGATCGTGGAGATCATGCAGCAGGGTAACGAGTCCCAGTGCTCAATACACATGTTTACAAAGATATCATAGTTTATCTTAATGAGACATAGAGAAGTCATAGGATAGCATGCCGGGAAAAGTCCTAAGAAAATGCATACTATAGTATGTCGTAAAAAAAAGTTATATTGTAAACAGTCGTATAAAAGTCCTCCACCTGACCCCCCACCTGTCTCCTCAGGCTCTCACCTGTCTCCTCACCTGTCTCCTCAGGCTCTCACCTGCTCTCACCTGTCTCCTCAGGCTCTCACCTGTCTCCTCAGGCTCTCACCTGTCTCCTCACCTCCTCTCTCCTCACTCACCTGTCTCCTCACCTCCTCTCTCCTCACTCACCTGTCTCCTCACCTGTCTCCTCAGGCTCTCACCTGCTCTCACCTGTCTCCTCAGGCTCTCACCTGTCTCCTCAGGCTCTCACCTGTCTCCTCACCTGTCTCCTCAGGCTCTCACCTGCTCTCACCTGTCTCCTCAGGCTCTCACCTGTCTCCTCAGGCTCTCACCTGTCTCCTCACCTGTCTCCTCAGGCTCTCACCTGTCTCCTCACCTGTCTCCTCAGGCTCTCACCTGGCGTGCTTCCACGGATCCAGCACCATCCGGGGTCTGAAGGAGCGTTTCCACATGTCTCTGACGGAGGAGCAGCTGCAGGTTCTGGTGGAGCAGCTGGTGGACGGGTCCATGAGGTCCATCACCACCAAGCTGTACGACTCCTTCCAGTACGTCACCAACGGCATCATGTGACCTGTGACCTCTGATCTGTGTGTGTGAGACTGTGTGTGTGAGAGACTGTGTGTGAGACTGTGTGTGTGTGTGTGAGACTGTGTGTGTTCTGGTGGACGGGTCCATGAGGTCCATCACCACCAAGCTCTACGACTCCTTCCAGTACGTCACCAACGGCAATCGCTGATCATCTCGGTTTCATCTCGTCCGTCTCAAGTCTTTATTGTGACGACGATCAGCTGATTCGTTGTGTTGCGTTCATGAGCAGCTGGGAGCGTCCGGGACTTTAAACAGGTTGTTTTTTTACATCCTGTGAAAATATCCTACCTGGAAGCATCAAGTTAAATTAAAAAAAACTAAAAGACTTCTGTTGGGTTCCCCTCTGAAGCAGCACATGTTCCAGACGCATCATCGAAGGGTTTAAAACAAGAGTTATAATTAAATAAACTGAGCGGGGAACATTAGAGCTGCTGATCGGACTGAAACGCTCACTTCAGTTTCTTCTAATTTGTGACGTTTTCTGACACTTTAAAGACCAAATCATAAATTGTAATGAATCCTAAATATCAAACTCTCTCTAAATAAAGAAGTGTGTTTGGGAGAGTTGTAAGAACCTGCGCAGAGAAGCTAACGTGTTCTCCGGTGTTCAGAGAGACTGAACGGTTTGAGATGTTTCCGGAGAGTTTATTTTGTGTTTAGTTTGAATGTTTTCACCAGACATTTATCACGGCTGTTTCTGAACAAATAAACCGGTTCCAGCTGGAAGATGATTCCAGTTCTTCACCGTTATTTTTTGTGCAAACTTTAAGAACATTGACTCATCTAGCGTAAAAGTCACATAGCGGTTCCAGCATGCCGTTTGCTAAGTGTTAGCACGTAACCTTACTAACTGTGAGCATGCATGCTAACGTTGGTATGCTAAATGCCGCGCTGCATGTAGGCTAAAGTGCTCCGGTGTTTGGCTCCAATAGCGTGACTTTTATACATATTTCTACAAACATGAACATCATTTAAACTTTAGGATTAGCCCACTGATATCTGTGGGAGACATTCCAGCCTAAAATAACTGATAACGGCTAACATGCTAACACTAGAGCTCTGTTGTTGTGGTTCTCTTTGTTAAACCAAACGCATCCTTGTGAATAGTTTGCTTCATGTAATGTTGAGATTTAATGGACCTATACATCTTTATTTTAATAAGATTTATGTACAGTGCTAACCGCTACCTTTCCTAATGTTATGACTCGAAAACCCTTTTGAAAACGTGACGAGTGTCTGGTGAAAAATAGAGACGTGTACATCATCAGTTTATCTGCAGGATCGTCTCTGATTAATTTCTATTTCTTTCCTCGTGGTCCGTGTTGAATTTCATGAGAAACTTCTGTGTAAATTTGTTCCATTCACGACTTGATAAAAGATGCTAACGCTAACACAACTCTACAGTGTTGAAATATAAAGTCAAAGTCAAAGAACAGTCCCGCACATTTTAGAGCCAAAATGGCTTCTGAAACGATTCCTTTCAACAGATTTATGCAAGAACATGTTCCTCTCCACTAACTGGATATCTGTGTATAACTCTTGAGTTAATGTGTTACAGTTACCTGTCTGTTAACGATATATTTGCATATTTAACGATGGCTGATTAGCTGATTAGAAACATTCCTCCGGCTGAAGCAGAGACTCTGATTTCTGTTTGACAGAACGTTTATTTTTTCTTTATGAGGAGACGCGTTTCCTGAATATGTGAATGTTTTTTTATATAATAACAATCCACTAAACAAATGTTTTTTCTCAGACTAATGTGTTCTTAGTATTGCTGAGCAACTTTAACACGTATATAATGAAGTTGTAACTAATGTTGGTGACACTATTAATGGCTTTATTCCAGTCTATCACACTTTAACATAAAAACAGTTTTTTTTTTTTCTTTTGATCAAAAGCTAGTTAGCGAGTCAATGCTCTTGTACCCAACGTTTAGCTACAGTTGTATTTACAGTTGAGGGATGATGAAAAACTTGTTCGCCAGCTATTAATGAGCTAGCTAGCATGAACTATTCTGCTAAGAGTTCTCCTTCTTCCGCTAACACTAGTACATTGTAGAGAAAAAACTAAAAACATACCTGGCTAGCAAACACTTTAGCTGAGTTCCTGTTTTATTTCATACAAGTGTTTATGTTTTATTAATAATGCTAACGGAGGCAGACAGACACTGGGACGGCTTATGCTAGCTAACTAGCTTTGAACTAACTTGTACACGAGCAGTAACTATAGTACAGTTTACAGCAGCAGTGTTACAATATATAACTTTATTATCTGCGGACTGTTTTCACTACAACTAAACCTAATTTGAAATCACTATACCACGACTGCTGCTTATTGTTAGCCATTAGCATGACAGTGACTCAGCTTAAATTGTTGCTAGCTTGTAATATTTTACCATTTTTCTTCACAATCAAATGTTATCTTTATAAATCTTTTTAAGCAAATTCATCTTATGTTTTGTAGTGACAAACCTAACAAGCTAGTTGGCTAACGAACAATTAACTGTTCAGTCTTTTTCTGTTAGCACTGTGGTGAAAATTAGCAAATTATAATCTTACCCAATAATTGTAAAGACACAAATGCTGGAATAATGTCACTACCTGGTGTTACCATCATTATTTTATGTACAGTTGTTTTTGTGTGTGTTTTGACCACTATTGAAGGAGAAGCACATATCTTTTATTGTGAAACCATGTTACCGTCTGCTAACCGTTAGCCCGCTACCCGTTAGCCGCTACTTTATACACCACCGCGCTTTACAAAGATGCAGCTGTGACTAAAGTTTACCAGATAAGCAACTTAAATAGCAACTACCCTCTCTCGTTCTGTTCCTTTGTGAATATGTATGTATGTAAATTAACTGTTTAATGTAAAATGAGATGCCTTGAGACGTACAGGAGGTACACAACTCTTATCAATGCAACCGGAGACGAAGTGCTTTTATATCTGACCGCTTCAGGGACGAGTTTTAACCTCTTCCTCATCTGGACTATTATTATTTATATTAACAGTAATTAAAGTTTCTCTCTGAAAGCTTGACTGATTTTTCTAAATTCTAGTAGGCCTATCTTTTTTCTTTGTTTTCCACCTTGACTAAAGGCACATAAAGCCCAAAATGCATTTAAATCATAGACTGTATATAGATTTAAATACTAGCTCCTTTAATGGTTGAGCTTCTGTACCGGAGAGGAAACCAGTTAAAACTTGTCTCTGTTTCTAAAAACCCTTCATTGCCTTTTATCTTCCTTTCATCAGCTCGAAAACATTCAAGAATTTCAATGTGAAAACTCTTTAAAGTGCATTTATCCTGAATGAAAATGTTTTCTGTTATTTGTTTTTACCACTAAACCCATTAAAGCAGCATGGGGACTCCTCCAGCTCTCCTCTGATTTATATCCTGTGAATTAGCGTCATGTTGTATTAGTTTCAATGAGAAAATGCTAACCATGCTAACACATGAACAGACAGAGTTAGTAGCACACTGTTTCTGTGACTCATCCTGTGAATTGGCTCCATGTTGTCTTGGTTTCAATGGGGAAATGCTAACGATGCTAACACATGAACAGAGTTATTAGCACACTGTTTCTGTCGAGTCATCCTGTGAATTAGCTTCATGTTTTATTGGTTTCAATGGGGAAATGCTAACGATGCTAACACATGAACAAAGTCTTTTTTTATTTTTTTTTATTGAACATTTTTTAAACATACAAAATCTCGGTGAGGATATCATCAACTTAACATAAGTGCAAGACATTCATTCACAATAAGACAAAATCACATAAATAATACATCCAATAAGAGCCAGGGGGAAAGAAAAAAGCATAAAGGCACAAAAACATTTAAGAGGCATTAAGTTTAAAATAACCATTTGGAAATGTCATTGCAAATCTTTATAGACATGTCATTGCAAATCTTTATAGACATGTCATTGCAAATCTTTATAGACAGTTTACAAGATTGTATTTTTCTAAGGGACAGAAAAAAGGACTTGAACTCATTTATGAAACAGGGAAAGGAGGGCTTGCCTCCTCTCCATTTACTACAATGTAAATGGTATTTACCCAAAATAATAATTATATTTACCAAATCAGAAATGGGAGAGTCCAAATTATCAATATAAATATAAAATGTGATATATTTTGAAGGCCGGAATATTTGTTAATTTAAGTAACAACCAATCTCACATTCGACCAAAACAATTCAGAAAAAGGGCATGAGAAAAATAAATGTTCCAACGATTCATCAGATACATTACAAAAGGAACATGGTTCCACTTCAAATTTAAATCTTGAATTTAAAAAAGTAGAAACCGGGTAGATTTTATGAACAATTTTAAAATGAGTTTCTTTTGCTTTAGGGGAAATAGGCAATTTTATAAAATGAGAAGGAGCTTTTTCCATTTCAGATAAAGTGTCTAAATCGGTCGCCTGTGGAAATAAGCCTCTGTTCAAATTGTGAAAAATGTGGGAGAACAAACAGAGTCGACATCAGACATTTATTTGTTTAGTTTTTACTGATAATTTGACATGACAAATGAAATACAAAGCTTAATCAGTGCGCGGCGACACGTCTGAAAACACCGGACGACAAACAGGTAGTACCGGCGACGCGCCCGAAAACACGCAGAGAGGCATGATGGGAAAGTCTGCTCAGCGACAGAGAAACGTTTCCTCGGTTTAACACGTGGCTTTAAAACAGGAAGAAGATTTATTTTGAAAATCAGTTTCAGCAGATATTAAACATGTTTTATTTTGAAATACGTCCCTTTTGTTCCACAGCAGGTTCTAAATCAGTTATAATGTAATGTTTGTTTCATAAAGACACAATTATACAGAGAACATTACAATATACTTATTCAAAAATGTGAGAAATCTTTAAGTATTAAATCAATTAGAGATATTTAGAGTTTTTAGGTCGGAAATGTTAGAGATTTCATCAATAATATATTTCTTTAGAGACAAGTCGTATATTTGAGATATAAAGTCAACCTTCTGATTCATTAGGTCAAAGTTATTAGTTATTTAGTCATAAATAAATACAATAATCAGAATGTGGCTCGTAAATATAAAGAAGTCAGAGATAAGGTCAAAATAATGATATAAGTTTTATTGAACCGATATTGGTGTATTTAGTGAAGCGCCTGCAGGGGAACAAACATCAGGTCCATCTGAAGGACGGGATGCACTTAGAGTTCGAGTTATGACACTTGATCCGACCGAGGCTTTTTTAGTTTTGTAGTGAAATCCTCAGATTTACATTAAATACAGAATAAAGTCTCTCCAACGACACGTGGACGCATTTATGGCCAATACATGCGTTATATATCACGAACGGAGAGGAAGAGGGGATGGGAGGAGAGGAAGGGGGGGAGGAGAGGAAGAGGAGAGGAAGAGGGGGAGGAGAGGAAGAGGGGATGGGAGGAGAGGAAGAGGGGATGGGAGGAGAGGAAGAGGAGAGGAAGAGGGGATGGGAGGAGAGGAAGAGGGGATGGGAGGAGAGGAAGAAGGGATGGGAGGAGAGGAATACATTTCTCATAACAAAGTCTGTGCAGAAAAAATTATATTTCTTTGATTTTATTTTTGAAGATCATTTTTTATTCCACGTTAAATGAAGCAGAGCTTCTTCTTTATGTTCTAAAGGTTTTATTGACCATAAATAAATGTGTTATTGACCCTTTAAGTGAACCTTCATCAGCCAGCAAACAACAAAGCACTGGGGGTTTGGCATCGAGCTGAGAGAGAGAGAGAGAGTGTGTGTGTGTGTGTGTGTGTGTGTGTGTGTGTGTGTGTGTGTGTGTGTGTGTGTGTGTGTGTGTGTGTGTGTGTGTGTGTGTGTGTGTGTGTGTGTGTGTGTGTGTGTGTGTGTGTGTGTGTGTGTGTGTGTGTGTGTGTGTGTGTGTGTGTGTGTGTGTGTGTGTGTGTGTCCTCTCTATAGGAGGGTGCAGTCTGATTCCTTCTCTCTTCTCCTGGCTCCGCCCTGCTGTGACCCCTGACCTCTGGCCTGAAACAGAGAGACATGATCGAGTGAAAATTATGTGAAAAATGGGTTAAATTGTGTGAAATTAATTGTAAAATGTTCAAGAAACAAGTGGATTTTTTTTAACAATGCCTAGAAAATATGTGTAAAATAAAAATGTGAATTTGTTTTTAAAAATGACTTAAAAAAAAGTGAAAGTGGCCGAAAATTAAATGTAAAATGTTCAAAAACCTATGTCATCAATATTTATATTTAAACTATTCTAGAGTATTTCCACAGTGTAGTATGTGTGTATTAGTACCTGCTGTTGTATTCTAGAGTATTTCCACAGTGTAGTATGTGTGTATTAGTACCTGCTGTGGTATTCTAGAGTATTTCCACAATGTAGTATGTGTGTATTAGTACCTGTATACTACAGTGTAGTATGTGTGTATTAGTACCTGCTGTGGTATTCTAGAGTATTTCCACAATGTAGTATGTGTGTATTAGTACCTGTATACCACAGTGTAGTATGTGTGTATTAGTACCTGCTGTGGTATTCTAGAGTATTTCCACAATGTAGTATGTGTGTATTAGTACCTGTATACTACAGTGTAGTGTTAGTGTATTAGTACCTGTGGTGGTGGCTGTGACGCCCCCTGCTGGTTCTGTTCTTGCTGCTGTTGTTGTTGTTGTTGCTGTTGTTGTTGTTGTTGTTGCTGCTGTTGATATTCTTCCTGCTGCAGCTGTTGGGCCAGCTCCAGATCACTGAGAGGCCCCGGGGCCCCCCCCTGGAGCTGCTGCAGGGACACCGCCACCAGGTAGTCCTGAAGAGAGGAACACCAGGAAGTACTGTGTTAGAAGCTGCCTCATGAGTGTGTGAATACTGCTTTAACACTGCGTTAACACTGGCACCTGGTCGATCTGCCTCTGCTGCTCCTGCTTGCTGCTCTTGGGCTCCGGAGCTCTCTGCAGACACAGCCTGAACTCAGAGTCACAGAAGTTACCATCGCCCTCTACGTTGTGAAGAGACTCGAAGACCAGACCCTCCTCCTGCAGGAAGCCCTGATCCGTCACCAGCAGGTACAGGTGACCCTGAGGGGGGGCGGGAAACTTTATTAACAACAGGTAACAGCAGGTACAGGTGACCCTGGGGGGGGGGGGGGAAACTTTATTAACAACAGGTAACAGCAGGTACAGAGGCCTGTACTACGAAGCCGGATTTTCTCTTAGCGAGCTAACTTCAGGGAAAACTCGGGGTTTCCGGTCCTACGACACTGGTTCACTTCTTAGCGGGCTAGATAACTTATTCTGAACGGCTAGCCTCCGGAGCAGGATAGGTTCCAGGATAAAAGCACTGCCTGCTGACCAATCAGAGCTCAGTGTGCGGAGTTTAAAGCGATCAATTCATATGACAGGAGAAAGGAAATACAGTTTAAACTGCCGTTGCAGGAAAGACGGCCGGCCAAAATCACCGACTGTGTGAACGTGAACATTAATAGAATATCCCCTCCCATCTTCAGAGCAATCTGACTATTATAACATTAGCGTTAAGAAAGCTTACTTAAATATCTGCCACAACATAAGTAACCGGATCAGAGTAACATTAAGTACAGTCCGCGGCACTGTGAGTGCAGACGTCGATGTGTCCCATTATCATTCACATCATATCACATCATAATGTATCATATATTTCCTTATCTGAGTCAGCTGAGCCGTATCTGGCCGTGCAACACTCACAGTGTCACATACTGTATGCAGAAGTATTATTTTAAGCAACACATTAAGTTGACGAAACACTCGAGTCAAATGTAATTAAAGTCAGATCGTGTCTTGGACGGGGCAGTGATATCATAAACCTGTTAATGTACGCATTCAAACACTTTTTCTTTTACCAGCTGTATTCACCTTGCAGGTGCAGCTATGTGGCTTTCATCCTGGATAAAGTGTTTAAGTCATGGATGTTTAAAGTTTAACTTCTTCATATTTGACTAATATTAAAGTTCACTTTTCATTCAGGAAGTATGACGCGCTGCGCTGTCAGTACGCTTGTCCATGTTTGAGATTGGTCAAATGTTGCTAACCCCGCCCCTTTCATGTGAACGCGCACCTAACTAGATAGGACACGGCTGGCTTGAGTTAACGAGTCGATAACCCGCGTCGTAGGACCGTTTAGCGAGAGCGCGTTTGTTTTGGATTGGGTCAACCGGCTAACTCAAACATATCCAGGTTAGGTTGAACCGGCTTCGTAGTACAGGCCTCTGGTGACCCTGAGGGGGGGAAACTTTATTAACAACAGGTAACAGCAATGTGTGTGTGTGTGTGTGTGTGTGTGTGTGTGTGTGTGTGTGTGTGTGTGTGTGTGTGTGTGTGTGTGTGTGTGTGTGTGTGTGTGTGTGTGTGTGTGTGTGTGTGTGTGTGTGTGTGTGTGTGTGTGTACCTTGTGTTTGATCATGGTGCTGAAGTGGTTGTTTCTGAAGAACACGGAGATCTCTCCCTCGGTTGCCGTGGCGTTGAGTTCACACAGACCGTGATACGAGAGCTGCGTCGCCGTGGACTCCAGGAACTGCTCAGCAACCAGACCTCAACACACACACACACACACACACTCACATTAATACACACTCAGAAATGTCCACAACATGTTGGAAAAACTGGGAAATTGTATGAAATGGGTCTGAAAACGAGTTACAAAGATGTTTGTGAACATTTTGAGAGATATATTTTTACTACACACACAATAAAATCTTCACACGTGTTCATGTGTGTATGTAGCAGAGGTGTGGACTCGAGTCACTAATTTGATGACTTTGGACTCGACTTGACAAAATCACAAAACACTTGCGACTCGACTTGGACTTGAACACCAATGACTCGGGACTTGACTTGGACTTGAGCCTTCTGACTTGAGGTGACTTGATAATTTAATTCAGGGGTCTCCAACACGCCGATCGCGAGATGCCGCTAGAAGAGCAGACTCCCGTCGGGGAGAGCAGAATCTTCAGCCGCTGCAACTCTTGCTGTGAATCCATGCAGGCAGGGGCGGGACTTTATTTTGCTGAGCCACCATGCAGCCAATCATATGCGAGGACACACTAGGATCATACCATTATGTGAAAGAAGGGTGGGGGGCAGACGCTCCAAAGACAGCAGGTGTAGTGGTACAGGCCAGCTACACAGAGCGACGGGGAGACAGATTTAAATGCAAGCGCGTCGGAAAAAGTCAAGAAATTTGCGAAAACCGAAAAAAGAAGCAGCATCTGGCTGCATTTCAATGATATTGGAGAAAGCAAAGCTGAGTGCAGGATTTGTAAAATGAAAATAACCTTCAGAGCAGGGGATTTTTTTTGGTAACCACTCAGGATTTATTGTCAGAGGTGGGAGAAGTTCAGATCTTGTACTTGAGTAACAGTACCAGAGTGTAGGAATACTCGGTTACAATAAAAAGTCCTGCATTCAAAATGTTACTCAAGTAAAAGTAGAAAAGTATTATCATCAAAATATAGTTAAAGTACCACCTGCAGAGGGATCTAGATTCAGGTGTTCTTTTCCCCATAGAGACGCCTCGCTGCACATTATCCCTTGCATAAAGATAGATTGTGGGTCCCTTATAACATGTTGTACACAGTGGAAATAAACATTCTGGTTACCTCAACATCAGGGATCTTATACATTAAACTCCTTCTGAATCAAACCGTCACGGTAGCCTTACCTTACTGATCCCTCTTAAAATAGAAGAAAAACACGTTACTTTACCAGCAGAGAGAAAATTGATTATTAAATTATTAATGTGACTAATAAAGAGCAGTTTGATTATTAAGTATTATTCTGTTGATCGATGTCATTACATTTGTTGAAAAGCACATAAGGACTTGTTTAAGACTCGTTTTGTCAAAGTAAAGGACTTGGACTTGACTTGAACTTGCCCATCCTGACTTGAGACTTGACTTGGACTTGAGCGCAAAGACTTGAGACTTGACTCGGACTTGAGCGCAAAGACTTGAGACTTGACCTGGACTTGAGTGCAAAGACTTGAGACTTGACTCGGACTTGAGCGCAAAGACTTGAGACTTGACTCGGACTTGCAAAACAATGACTTGGTCCCACCTCTGGTATATAGTAGTGAAATGATTTTGCATGCATTAGTGTGTGTCTTCATATTTGCATGTGTTACCTTCACTGACTCGGCTGCTGTCTGCAGAGTGTTTGTAGTCGATGATTTTCTCCACCAGCTGGTTATAACTCAGTTTCCCCACCGACGCCACCGTCTCCGGACTCTGCACACACACACCAGGGATGCAAACTCATCAGGTATGAAAAAGGTGACAAGGATCCGAGCCCCCCAACCCCACGGAATATCGGCTTTAAAATGAGGAATAACAGGATTTTAGCAGTCAGAACAACTAAAGCAGCAGTTAATAATAACAGAAACGCCAAAGAGTCACATCTAATAGAAATATATAAAACCATTTATTTTAATTGTGTAGCAGTCAGTTTATAATTTTGGCAGCACTGTTGAGCATTTTGAAAATGTATTACTATGTACTATACTTGGGTACAATTTTGAGATGCTTGTACTTTACTTAAGTATTTCAATGTTTTTGCTACTTTGTACTTCTACTCCTCTACAGTTCAGAGGAAAATGGTATTTAATCCTTTTAGTTACTTCACAGATGTGGATGAATGATGTGAAATATAATCAAGTGTTAAATCAGACTTTAGTTCCACCTGGAGTAAATTCACAAGGTACCCTGCAGTATACAAAGTCATTCAAACTAGCTGCTAGTGATGTTACGTAGATCAGGGGTATTCAACGAGGTCCAGTTAGAGAAAATGTCCCCATGCAAAGGTCCGGAACATCAAAATGTCTAACTTGCTTTATGAGTTAGTGTGATATATATTGAAGTAGCCTGTAGCTGTATCAACGTCTGCATGTAATCAACAACTGACTGCCAATCAAATAAAGAAAGTACAGTTAAAAAAACAACAATATTTATTGTCAATTAACATTGAACTATACAGATATAGATGATGGCATAACGCATGCTGCTTGAGTAGTAGTTTGGCTGGCTGAGAGATGTAGCAAGTTATACATTTTTCTGTGAAAAAAGTATATTGCTGGCAATAAAGTCTATCATTATCATGGTGATTATTTCGCAGATAATACAAAAAACGGCTCTTTTCCTACACTCTGGTAGTTTCTACTTTAACTCAAGTACAAGACCTGAGTACTTCTACTTTTACTCACGTACAAGATCTGAGTACTTCTACTTTTACTCAAGTACTAGATCTGAGTACTTCTACTGTTACTCAAGTACAAGATCTATACTTATACCACCTCTGTTTATAGCCTATGAAAAAACTATTAGAAAACTAAGGCTAAAGCTAACGTTAGCAGATAGTGACAATGTATGCTAGTTAGCTAGCTCAACGATTCCTTAAAAAATATCGCTACAGAAAGACTTTTCAGTGCACATCACGCTCTGCTGCTCCAACAGGGAGCTCTGCTCTGAACACCTGAACGGCCCGTTCTAACAGCTGTTCACCAGCGGTCCAGTCTGTGCCACAGTGACTCCGGACCACACAGTTAATATTAACGAACGCACCGTAGGTAATGTAGCTGCTGAAGCTAGACCTCATCGCGGAGCAGCAGAGTTCAGCCGACAGACAGGAAGACTCGAGCACACAGTCGCGCTTCATTATACAGGGTTCTTACACCTTTTCCAAAGTCAAATTCAAGCACTTTTCAAGCATTTTCAAGGTGCATTTTCAAGCTTTTCAAGCATCTTACAGCTGTTGTAAATTACATATTTACATACACATACTTATACTCAAATGATTATTTCCCTACCGCACATTAAATCAAATGTTCTTTATGCTATAAAGTATAAACAACCAAACGTGTGTTTCGTAATAGCATTCTACATGAGGACGAAAAATTAAAGAAAAGAAAACTAAGTTTAATATTTCAAAATGAGTGACCCATCTGTACGTAGACTGGGCATCCCATATAACCTGGCTGAGCCAATATAAAACAATCAGCCAAATAACTTTTCAATACATTATTGATTACTATTTTTGAGGTACTTTTAGGTTGGCAGTAAACACAAGTCAGAGGTAAATGGAGTACTTTGACTCCACTACATGTATTTAATACCTTTAGTTACTTTACAGATGTGGATGAATGATGTGAAATATAATCAAGTGTTAAATCAGACTTTAGTTCCACCTGGAGTAAATTCACAAGCTACTCTGCAGTATACAAAGTCATTCAAACTAGCTGCACCTTTACCAGCTTTGAGAACACTTTCATGATCAATCATTATAAAACATATCATATACAATTATTAGGGATGCTCCGATCGCCAATTTTGGAGCCGATCGCCGGAATCAGTATCGGCCGATACCGATATCGCTCTCTTTTCCTCTCTCCCCCTCTCTCTCTCTCCTGACAGCCCGTCAGTATCTCCTGCAGCTCACTGATCCAGTAATGAGCGAGCCGACAGTGAAGAATAAATATATTTATAACTAGTTTAGCTTGTTCCAGAGGTAGATAAAATAGCTAAGTGTGTTAGGTCTAACTCTTAATGTGTGTTCTGCTCCGCTCACCGGTCCGTCACAGCGGGTGGAGCTGCAGGATTTCTGCTTCACACACACGTTGCATACCGCTATTTTATTGTCATTTTCGGACACTTAAAATACTGCCAGACTAGTGAAGCCATTTTGGCGAGCTTGTTTTGAAGCTCGCCAAAAGTGTCATGTATTTTACATGCAACGATAGCCTAATCTAAAATGCTCTACTATGGCGTACCTTTCGTGTGGTGTGTGGCTCGTCAGCGCAGACTCTCGCATCGTTATTGTTGCACACTTTGCAGGAGGCTACTCTTGGGCTTCGCTTGACCCTCGTCTTAGCCATGGCTTGTATTTGTCTTCTGCTAGCCAACGCTCGTTGAAACGGCAACCTCCTGGCATACTGTCATCTATCACTCTCATCAGAATGCCCAGGTCACACATGTAACAAAAACACTTGCCGGTCACGCGCATTGCGCGGGAAGGCCGGAGCGAGCTGTTTTATGTAAAAGCGAATTAAGCAAGCGCGCTCCGACTTCTTTATTTTCTTTTAATCTAAAAAGCGAAGTAAAGCATTTACAATTTCAAGCACTTTATCCCAAATTCAAGCACCATTCCCAAAATTCAAGCACTTTTCAAACCTTGAAAACACCTCGTACAATTTCAAGCATTTTCAAGGATTTCCAGCACCCGTACGCACCCTGAATATACTATATACAAAAATAACACCATGCACGTCATGATGGCACATAACAGCTCGCGGCCGCAGATTACTCCGGGTCCCAGACACCCCCCCATACCCCAAAAATATTTTTATTGCAGATCTACATGAATCACACAAACAACCTATTTTGGATTCAAAACGGCAAATTTCGCCGAAAGGTGACAGGTTTGCCACACACACACACACACACACACACACACACACACACACACACACACACACACACACACACACACACACACACACACACACACACACACACACACACACACACACACACACACACACACACACACACACACACACACACACACACACACACACACACACACACACACACACACACACACACACACACACACACACACACACACACACACACACACACACACACACACACACACACACACACACACACACACACACACACACACACACACACACACACACACACACACACACACACACACACACACACACACACACACACACACACACACACACACACACACACACACACACGAAGTTTTCAGGGTTTTATAGTGATGACATCACCTGGAGTGGAGAGGGGCTTTAAAATCTCCTGAATAGAAGATCTTAAACCTGCTCTACATCCCATAATATTCACTCTTTCCACATCATTTCAGATGATTTCAGCAGCAGAATTAGTCAGCGCTGTCTCGATGTCTTCACGATATCAAACTGATTTACAAATCTGTCCCAGAAGATCCCTAAGTGACAACTCCAGCTGCCTCGCCCAGAGACGCCATGTTAAATGATCACTATGAGACATTGTGGGAGATGTGAGTGAGTGTGCGAGTGCGAGCGTGTGTGTACCTGGGGGTCCAGCAGCCAGCCGTGGTACAGTGGGATGTTCAGCAGGTCGAACACGATGCATTCAGGCGTATACTCGAAGTCCGTGACTCCGGTGAAACGAACGTTAACGTCCAGACCCGTGGAGAGCTTCGGCAGAACGGCCATCGCATCACTCATGTTCTGCACACAAACACACACACACACACACACACACACACACACACATATATATATATTTATAAAACGGACAAGTCAAATCAAGCTATCTGATTGGTTCTTAGCCGTGATATAATGGAACAACCTCATCCTATACAAGTAACCACGTAAGCCATTCTACTGATGCTGGATAGGTTTTCAGTGGGTGCACAATAAACGGCAGTGGTGGCGAAGTCCATAGGGACTTGGCTTGGCAACTGGAAGGTCACCAGTTCGAGTCCCGGCAAGACCAAGTGCTACCGAGGTGTCCCTGAGCAAGGCACCGTTCCCTACACTGCTCCCCGGGCGCCGGACATAATGGCAGCCCACTGCTCCTAACACTAGGATGGGTCAAATGCAGAGGAACAATTTCGTTTCATAGTACCTGTACTGTGAAATGACAAAAATAGCAATTTATTTTATTTATTAACACACATTAATGTAAATAAATAGCCAAATAATGGATCAACGCTCTCTGTCTAAGGTGTTGTGCACACGGGAACGTTTGCGTTTATGCACAGTATGCGTTTTCAAAAAAGTCTTCCGTTCACATGCATTAGTTTCATTTAACGTGTCTGTTCAAACGAGACCGCTGGAAACGCTGGACACGCTGTAGTACATATGCCGGGACTGCAAGTGGCGCTTCCGCCACAAAATACACCAAAAGCAGCGAAGAAGACCCCCGGAGCAGCCCGGAGCAATGTTGCCATGGCTACCCTTCTGTTTACGCCCCGCGGTGGATTTAGCAACATGTAGTTCATGCAGCGCCATATAGATAGATTATATTATACGGCTCTGAGTTCATGTCATTCTCCATGTCCACTTGTTGCTGATGGTTGTGGTAGAGGAGCTGTAGATTTTGCACTAACATCTGTAGCATGGTCAGTAGCAGTAGCACTAGCAGTAGCTACTGACAGGAGGAAGTGTGTGTGGCGATTGCTGGTATTCAGCGGGATATAGTAATTTCCTCAGCATGTAAATATATGGATAAATGCAACGGGGAAGTTAACTGAAAGAAACCGAATCTGTGGATATTGCATCGACCGACCAAGAAGCACGTCTCCGTGGAGAGGACGCGCTCAGAAAGAGAGATATTCTCTACAAACACCGGGTGAGATCGCTCCTCTGGGACACGCCGGTCCTCTGCCTACAAACATTTCTCTTTTTGCCGCCGACGGGCGCAGGAGCAATGAACAATAATGGCCTGGATTAGGCAGTAAAGACAATTTTGGTGTATCGCAGAGCGGACTGTTTAATTTTGTTTGTGTTGTTTGGCTGGAAAATTGTCAATATAATGGATCAATGCATGAAATCTGACTCTGTTTATTTTGTTTAAGGAGTATATTGGGCGTTAACAATTCTGGTTTGCCTTTTATAATATTATTTCATTCAAGAACCCCTTGTGCGTTGAATTAACACAGCTATTTTTGATAGTTGATCGTTACAGATGGCTACTGGCCATGCTACAGCAGTGAGCAGCAGAGGTGGGGAGAGGTGGGGCTATCGTTATTTTTTCAGGAAATATTCGTATAGAGGCGATTACACGGACTCGTTTGACCCCCCAGAGAGTTTCGTTTGCAAATCTATCCACCTTGGGACCCGTTATCGTTTGTGGGGTCCGTTTCTATCGGCCTCGTGTAAATAATAGGGCTATACGCAAGAGAAACTATGCAGATACAAGCCGTTTTGTCCTCGTGTAAACGGCACCTAATATGTTCGCTAGCTGTTGTTAGTGTTGTTGCATAGCAACCACCTCGCACTATGTTTCGTGCAGAAGGCAACGGAGGGACTATTTTATTTTGAACATCATTATTTACTAATAAAAACTATTTAAATTAGAGTGCGTATTTTTCTTTCATATTGCCACACTTGGTAACCGTTTCATAAAAGCAATATGCTCATTATATCACAGCTAAACGGCGTGGTTCGGCCCGACGCGAAGCCTGTCGTGAGCTATTGCTTAAATATAAGTACTACACATGTCGTTAAAGTGTCCAAGTGTGTGTGTGTGTGTGTGTGTACCTGTTGGAAGTTGAGCTCCATGCCCTCTGCCTTCTCTCTGGGTGTAACAGACAATACACACTCTCCTGCACAGCAAACACACACAAATTAGAAGTCTAAACTGTCTGAATATATGTCTGAATATATATATATATGTGTGTGTGTGTGTGTGTTCTGACCCAGGTGAGCCATCAGGTCCTCAGCAGTGACCACTTCAGTCTGCGCCGGGAGCTTCGCCTGAAACACAGACATCGTTTACTAAAGATGTACAAATACTACAATTACTACAACTACTACATATACTACTACAGATACTACTACAGATACTACTACTACTACAGATACTACTACTACAGATACTACAGATACTACAGATACTACTACTACAGATACTACTACAGATACTACTACTACTACAGATACTACTACTACAGATACTACAGATACTACTACAACTACTACAGATACTACAGATACTACTACTACAGATATTACAGATACTACAGATACTACTACTACTACTACTACAGATACTACAGATACTACTACTACAGATACTACAGATACTTCAAATACTACAGATACTACTACTACAACAGATACTTCCAATACTACAGATACTACTACGACTACTACAGATACTACAGATACTTCAAATACTACAGATACTTAAAATACTACAGATACTACAGATAATTAAAATACTACAGATACTTCAAATACTACAGATACTACAGATACTTCAAATACTACAGATACTACAGATACTACAGATACTACAGATACTACAGATACTACAAACACTAGAACTACCGAAGTAGTAATACTACCACCATAAAATCAGAGGAAATAAAAATGTACGATATTTGACCGTAAATTAACCACTTCATTTTGAAATGTTGTCTTTCTTCGTGATGGTTCTCCTACCTCAAACAACCCTAATATATAAGTGACTTCATATTGATTTATTCAAACCTTTGAACGGACAATATGACAGTAAAGAGTTTAACGTAATTTAAACATTATTTAGACGTTAGTTAAAAGGTATTCAGACGGTGTGTGTGTGTGTGTGTGTGTGTGTGTGTGTGTGTGTGTGTGTGTGTGTGTGTGTGTGTGTGTGTGTGTGTGTGTGTGTGTGTGTACCTTCCAGCGCAGGAACAGTGTGTTCATGATGGCGAGCAGCGGACACGGCCCGTTCTCGCTCTGCGTGATGATCGGCGTCTTCTTCTCCTTCCAGCTGATCCACTTCACCAGGTAGTAGGCCGGCATGTTAGGCCCCGCCTCCACCGCTGCTGCAGCGCCTCCTGTGGACAGGAGCAGAACTGCACTCACTTACACTGAATGCTACACACACACACACAGACTGCACACACAGACTGAACGCTACACACACACACAATAAACACTGCACACACTGAATACTGCGCACACACACACTGAACGCTGCACACACTGAACCCTGCACACACACTGAATGCTACACACACACTGAACGCTGCACACACACTGCACGCTGCACACACTGAACCCTGCACACACATTGAACGCTACACACACTAAACACTGCACACACACACACTGCACACAAACACACTATAAACACTGCACACACACACTGAACGCTGCACACACACACTGCACGCTGCACACACACACACTGCACGCTGCACACACTGAACGCTGCACACACACACTGCACGCTGCACACACACACTGAACGCTGCACACACACTGAATGCTGCACACACACTGAACACTACACCCACACACACGCTGCACACACACACACTGCACGCACACATTTTAGTTTTTCATGGGTGAAAAGAAACTAAAATGTGTAGTATTAGTAAATCTCTCTAAAGCGTTCTCACCCGCAGCCTCCAGCGTCTCCCCCTCCCTCAGTGGGGGGTCCTCGCTGCCCTGCCCCCCCCCGCCTGCTGTCAGACCCCCCTCAGAGAGGCTGGGGAGGGAGAAGGAGGCGGAGTCTGTGGAGCCTCGCTGCGCCTCAGAGACGCCCAACGCCTCCTCCACGTCTGCAACACACAGAATATAATTATGAATATACAGGGTTCTTACACCTTTTCCAAAGTCAAATTCAAGCACTTTTCAAGGTGAATTTTCAAGCTTTTCAAGCATCTTACAGCTGTTGTAAATTACACATTTATATACACATACTCAAATGATTATTTCCCTACCTCACATTAAATCAGATGTGCTATAAACAACCAAATGTGTGTTTCATAATAGCATTCTAGATGAGGATGAAAAATTAAAGAAAATAAAACTAAGTTTAATATTTCAAAATGTGTGACCCATCTGTACGTAGACTGGGCATCCCATATAACCTGGCTGACCCAATATAAAACAATCAGCCAAATAACCTTTCAATATATTATTGATTACTATTTTTGAGGTACTTTTAGGTTGGCAGTAAACATAAGTCAGAGGTAAATGGTGTACTTTTCCTCCACTACATGTATTTAATACCTTTAGTTACTTCACAGATGTGGATGAATGATGTGAAATATAATCAAGTGTTAAATCAGACTTTAGTTCCACCTGGAGTAAATTCACAAGCTACCCTGCAGTATACAAAGTCATTCAAACTAGCTGCACCTTTACCAGCTTTGAGAACACTTTCATGATCAATCATTATAAAACATATCATATATATTATTCTGAAATGGACCAATCTGCACAATGACTATTTTTACTGTCGCTACTTTAAAGGTGGGGTAGGTAAGTTTGAGAAACCGGCTCGAGATACACTTTTTGTTATATTCCATGGAATGCTCTTAACATCCCGATAGCAATGAATATCTGAAATGCTTTGACAAAAAATCCATACAAAAAAATCATCTGTGGAAGCCGTAGTACTGTAAAAAGCACGACCAATCATCTGAGCCGGCCCGGCTAAAATAACTGGATGGCCGACCTGCCTGTCAGCCTTCCATCTGTGCACAAACTTATCTCGTGCCCTCATTGGTCATGTGCGCGTTCGTGTGTGTTGGAGGAGGGGCTCTGTAAGGAAGTAGCAGATTTCTTCCGGCTGTGTATTTTCAAATTCTAGCACACTTCTCCAAAATTACCTACCCCACCTTTAACTATATTTTGATGATAATACTTTTCTACTTTTACTTGAGGAACATTTTGAATGCAGGACTTTTACTGTAACAGAGTATTCCTACACTCTGGTACTTCTACTATAACTCAAGTACAAGATCTGAGTACTTCTACTTTTACTCAAGTACAAGATCTGAGTACTTCTACTATTACTCAAGTACAAGATCTGAGTACTTCTACTTTTACTCAAGTACAGGATCTGAGTACTTCTACTTTTACTCAAGTACAAGATCTGAGTACTTCTACTATTACTCAAGTACAAGATCTGAGTACTTCTACTTTTACTCAAGTACAAGATCTGAGTACTTATTTCACCTCTGGTAGCGTATTAGCCTGAATTGTAGCCACAAAATCAAGCAGAGCTGCATAAAAATAGACTCACAATGGTAACAAGTGGAAAATAATATTTACAAATGTGTACAATGATTTGTAGGTAATTTTGATTACCCGCTACTCAAGACACCTGACTTATACATCTTCAAAGGAAGACTGTGTTCATTCTACAATTACATGGGATTAAAGCAAAATGTAGTTTTACTTGTATAATACTTCAAGATTTTATATAAAAGACTGTTTCTAAAAGTATCAACCATAGCGACGCGGTCAAATCCTCAGTTTATAATTTATAACATACTAACAAGCTAAGGTCTAATTACGCAACCCAGTCTCACGGCATTTCGTGTTATAGTCACGAAATAAATGTAATCTATTGATTCGTGTTCACCAACACGATTTTCCCCTTTTTTTCATGTCACACAGAACGATTTTAAAAGCAATGTATTTCTATTGGTAGTATGTTTCGTGCGTGCGTCTTTTTGTCCGGTCGGGTCTTGGAAGACCAGAAGCTGTGTGGTTCATAAAAACATGTTCTTACTCAATATCAAGCCACGATTATTGTTTTTATTTTAAATCGGATAATGTCGTTTTCTTTTACCGTCTGTGAGGAAAAGAAATGGGGCTCAGAGCCTCAGAGCCTCAGAATACTGAAATCTGTATATATTTTTTTCCTTCTAATTTGTTATTATTTGTGACCAGCTCTATCGAAATCAGTCAAAAGTCGCAACGGCTCATTTAAAAAATAAACGTGGATTTGTGTAAAAAAACTAGTTTTTCAGGGTTCGGGTGTTTTGTTTCATTTTAAATAAACAAAGTCTTGGCTTTCAGAATATGAAACTGTTATTGCCAAAATCTCATGATAAATACATGTTTGAAGCTTGTAAATGGAAGAAGAGTTAATACTTTGAATATTTTCAAAGAAACAAGTATTGGCTTTCAGAATATTAAACTTGTTTCGGCAAATTCAGATGATAAATACAACTTTGAAGCTTGTAACGGCATAATTACAAGCGGAGAACGGAGTAGTTTAACGTCACAGCAAGCATAACAGCCGGTGTTTCTTGTGAGTGTTTCCCCGGTGCACAAACACAATACACACAAACGCAAAAATACACAAACACACACACACTTGCGAGCTTCCCCCAGACCAGTAATACAAACGAAAATGTGTCTTCGGGTCAATGTGATTGATTTCGATAGAGCAAGTCACATTTGGTTTAGGCACGAAACATACTACCAGTAGAAATACATTGCTTTTAAAATCGCTCTGTGTCGAATCAATAGATTATATTTCGTGACTATAACACGAAATGCCGTGAGACTGGGTTGAATTACAACAGTGAGTGCTTCATCCTCTGAACACCACAGGATAGCGACTGTAACGCACATATTAACGTAGGTACGCTCCTCTGAAATGATTGTCCCCTGCAATTATTATTATCCCTCATCGAGTTCGCTATTCAGCTTGCTAACGTTAGCTTAAACGTAACATGCAACGTTAGCCTAATCTAAAATGCTCTTCTACGGCGTACCTTTCATGTGGCTCGTCAGCGCAGACTCTCGCATCGTTATTTTTGCAAACTTTGCAGGAGGCTACTCGTGGGCTTGACCCTCGTCTTAGCCATGGCTTGTATTTGTCTTCAGCTAGCCAACGCTCGTTGAAATGGCAACCTCCTGGCATACTGTCATCTATCACTCTCATCAGAATGCCCAGGTCACACGTAACACAAACACTTGCAGGTCACGCGCATAGCGCGGGGAAGGCCGGAGCGGAGCTGTTTTATGTAAAAGCGAAGCAATTAAGCTCGCTCCGACTTCTTCATTTTCTTTTAATCTAAAAAGCGAGGTAAAGCATTTACATTTTCAAGCACTTTATCCCAAATTCAAGCACCATTCCCAAAATTCAAGCACTTTTCAAACCTTGAAAACACCTCGTACAATTTCAAGCATTTTCAAGGATTTCCAGCACCCGTACGAACCCTGAATATATCTGAGGAATTATAGAGAGGGTTCTCATTAAAGAGACCCCCCCCCCCCCCCCTGTAGAGAGTTATATAGGTGTTAGTGCATGTCAATGGTCTGCAGAGGCTCAAATCCCTGTGTTCATCCATAAGGAGTTTCTCTCCCACACTCTGTCTGAAACGCCTCCATTGGACTCCTTTGTTTACTTCCAGAACAAAGTAACATCACTACGGAACACTCACACTCCTATTGGCTAACGCTCTAATGCTGCGTTCACAGCGGACGCGATGCGATGTTTGGGGGCGGCGCGACTACATGTAAAGTCAATGCAGAGACGCGGACAGACGCAAATTCGCTCCGACGGCGCGGTTGATGCGAATGTCGCGGCGCGATTGGGGGGGGGCCGCGACAACCGCTCGAGTTCACATTTTTCAACTCGAGCGTCAAATTCCTGTGACACGATCTCGCGGTAGCCAATCAGCGGTGAGGATCTCAGCCTGCCGTCACTGACGTAGAACCACAAAACCAACATCAGCCGTTAGCTGTTAGCACTCAGAGCTCACAGCTCCTCATATCTGTTCAGAAACTAGACAAAAGTTAAACGAGTACAAACCACAGACTGCCTGTGTCATGGTGAATACAGTCGCTGCTTTATTTATGTCTGTAGGCCGTTGTTGTGAGTGTGGACGGTCGGAGCATATACTGCGTTAGCTTAGCCGATCTCCATTCAGAAAACACGCATTTTAAAAGGTTTTTCACCTGCCGTCTGTCTGCAGACTTGACAAAGCATTAATTCATGGTTTTTACCAACTGGTATCAGTATGTTGTTACTTCGGCATCATTTTGAAATGTGTATTACAATTAAATCACGGTCAAATATGTTCATTTTGTTGTAGTTGTAGCCCCCTTGCCAGCGAGTCTTGCTTGAATGATGCGAGTAAGTCTATGGAGTAAACACAGCTGACAGCCGCGGTGAAACTCGAGCGAATATTCGCATCGCGTCCGGTGTGAACGCAGCATAACACATTGTACATGCTAGGGGGCGGGACATCTCTAAGCGGTAGACCAATCAGAGCAGACCAAAATAGTTTCAAGGCAGAAAAATGAAACGCAAATAAAAAGGAATTTAGTCTCCAGCAGAAATATATATGTTCTACTGTAAGAAGAGGAGAGGACATAGTGATGTCACTACGGTCCGGATGTAAACAAAGGAGTCCAATGGAGGGGTTTCAGGAAGGGGGGGGGACACAGGTATTTGAGCCCCTGCAGACCGTTAACATGCACTGACCCTACAGATCTATCTATTCACCCGTGTCTCTTCCTCCGTGTCTGAGGAGAGTCGACAGAGATTCTTCTTCTGTGGTGACGGCGGTCATCGTGCCGTTATCTGACGACAGCGAGGACGAATCAGGCGGAGTGGGCGTGGCCTCTTCCTCCTCCTCTTCATCATCGTCCCCCTTCTTCTTCTGCAGGACTTTAACAGGTAGAGCTGGACCCTCGTCCTCCTCCGTCTTCTTGCTCAGCTCTTTGAGAGGAGACGCCTTCTCTGCCATCAGCTGATCTGCCATGGCGACACGTGAACACGCTAAGAACACGCTAAGAACACGCTAAGCACACGCTAAGCACACGCGTCTGGAAGAAAGATCACGCTGAAGCCTTCATGTGTAGAGAAGCAGGAAGTGGGTGTCAGACGGGGGCGGAGCCAGCATGACCCTGGATGACCTCTGACCTCTATCTGACCCGAAACATCACGTAATAAACTTCTTCTTCTTCTGTGGTGTTCAGGACTTCTTCTTCTCCTGTCAGCAGACTTCCTGTCAGACCTGAAGCAAACAGGAAGTAGAAAATCATTAAAGAAGACGTTTGTCAGGTTAACACACACACGTCTTGCTCCCTGATCAATACTCTATCTGTCCTCATGTCTCTCTCTCTCTGTCCTCCTGTCTCTCTGCACGATATTGGAACTGACATTGCGATTTTTTCCCCCTGCGATATATATATATATATTAGGGCTGTCAAGCGTTAATAACGCGTTAACGCAAAAAGAAATTAACGCCACTAATTATTTTAACGCAATTAACGCATGTGTATTTTTTGTCCTCGGCCGCCGTAGTTTCAGAGCGCATCGAGTTTAAAATACCATCTACAAGCTGATGCTGACAGCCCCGCTCCTGCCGCCCGCTTGTGGCAGACCACACTTCCACGCTCACCGGCAGGCCCGGACTGGCCATCGGGAGGACCGGGAGGGTGTGTGTATGTGTGGGGCGAGCGAGCGAGGCACACCTTACGTGTTGTTGTTAGCATCTGGTGCTAGCTAGCTGCGCTAACGGATATAAGGAGCTGTTTCAATGAAAACAGAGGAGCGACATTTCGCCGACAACTGCGCCGAGCACTTGACTTTATGCAGGTAGCCAGACAGCACACTCAGCACGGATAGTGCGCGCAACATGATTGCAGCGTCCAGGCAGCTCCCGTTCGAGCATATATGCCTTGAGCTGCACATCACACACACACACACACACACACACACACACACACACACACACACACACACACACACACACACACACACACACACACACACACACACACACACACACACACACACACACACACACACACACACACACACACACACACACACACACACACACACACACACACACACACACACACACACACACACACACACACACACACACACACACACACACACACACACACACAACACACACACACACACACACACACACACACACACACACACACACACACACACACACACACACACACACACACACACACACACACACACACACACACACACACACACACACACACACAGTATTATTGTATGAGAGAGGTTCCAGGTTGAATTGAGGCGAATATTTGTAATGTTCAGAGATTGTTGTGTTTATTATTCATGAGAATATTTGTCATTGTTCAAATGATAAACAAACATATAAAGCATAGTTGTCCACTCATATGTTAATAAGAGTATTAAAAACTTGAAAAATATCCCTCTAAGGTACATTTAGAGCAGTTAAAAAATTTGCGATTAATTTGCGATTAAATATTTTAATCGACTGACAGCCCTAATATATATATATATATATATATATATATATATATATAGCGATATGAAAACATACAGGAATTGAAGAAAAGACCGTTTTTTTGTCCCAAACCATCCTTTCTTGAAATGTAATGCTATACAATTGGTATTTTTTTAACTATATTTAACCGGATGAAGGATTTTAGTCACGGACGTCTGGATCTTAAGTTATCAGCGCAACAAGCTGAGCTAGCTCGGTTAGCAGCGCCGAACTGCCCTGGAGAAACACATGAAACTACTTTATTCAGTGTTTTTACCTTTAATCTCCGGGTCCGTTAGCTTTGGAGATTTGATTGTGATTGGTGGTTTGCTGTCACTCACTCAAGTACCCCTGACATGAGAGCCGTGCAAGTTTTCCTTTTGCAGCAAGCAGCAAAATCATTGTAACATGACGTGTTTGAGTTAATTTGCCTACTTAATATCGCAAGTCCTAAAAAAAAAATGTATAAACTTTTTTTTTTTTAAAGAATCGCACGTCCATGTGAATATCGCGCATATCGCGATTATCGTCACGATACGATATATCGTGCAGCCCTACACACAACCACTACAGAAACATGAGAGATATAAAGAGATGTAAAGGAACTAGATAGATGGATTAGGGTGGTCCTTCAAATTGAAAGTCGGAAAGTCTAAGCTCCAACCCCCAGAATTCATTCTATTAGTCAAGAAAACTCTCCTGGTGAATTTTTTCCTCAATCTGACACCAGCATCAGCTGCTGGTGCGGCAGCCTAGTCTAGCACCAGGAGTCTAGCACTAGGAGTCTAGCACTAGGAGTCTAGCACCAGGAGTCTAGCACCAGGAGTCTAGCACCAGGAGTCTAGCACCAGGAGTCTAGTACCAGGAGTCTAGCACCAGTAGTCTAGCACCAGGAGTCTAGCACCAGGAGTCTAGCACCAGGAGTCTAGTACCAGGAGTCTAGCACTAGGAGTCTAGCACCAGGAGTCTAGCGCCAGTAGTCTAGCGCTAGGAGTCTAGCGCCAGGAGTCTAGTGCCAGGAGTCTAGTCTAGTACCAGGAGTCTAGTACTAGGAGTCTAGCGCCAGGAGTCTAGCACCAGGAGTCTAGCACTAGGAGTCTAGCACCAGGAGTCTAGCGCCAGTAGTCTAGTACTAGGAGTCTAGCGCCAGGAGTCTAGCGCCAGTAGTCTAGTACTAGGAGTCTAGCACCAGGAGTCTAGCACCAGGAGTCTAGTACCAGGAGTCTAGCACTAGGAGTCTAGCACCAGGAGTCTAGCGCCAGTAGTCTAGTACTAGGAGTCTAGCACCAGGAGTCTAGCACCAGGAGTCTAGTACCAGGAGTCTAGCACTAGGAGTCTAGCACCAGGAGTCTAGCGCTAGGAGTCTAGCGCCAGGAGTCTAGTACCAGGAGTCTAGTACTAGGAGTCTAGCACCAGGAGTCTAGCACCAGGAGTCTAGTACTAGGAGTCTAGTACTAGGAGTCTAGCAGAAAACAGACAGAAAACAGAGAGAAAACAAGCAGAAAACAGAGAGAAAACAGACAGAAAACAGAGAGAAAACAGAGAGAAAACAGACAGAAAACAGAGAGAAAACAGACAGAAAACAGAGAGAAAACAAGCAGAAACAGACAGAAAACAGAGAGAAAACAGAGAGAAAACAGAGAGAAAACAGGCAGAAAACAGAGAAAACAGGCAGAAAACAGAGAGAAAACAGAGAGAAAACAGACAGAAAACAGGCAGAAAACAGAAAACAGAGAGAAAACAGGCAGAAAACAGAGAGAAAACAGGCAGAAAACAGAGAAAACAGGCAGAAAACAGAGAGAAAACAGGCAGAAAACAGAGAGAAAACAGGCAGAAAACAGACAGAAAACAGACAGAAAACAGAGAGAAAACAGACAGAAAACAGAGAGAAAACAGGCAGAAAACAGAAGACAGCTTTAAGCAGCTTCTGTTAGCATGACGGCAGCATCCTAAGCTAACTTAGCTCAAGTTAGCTGTTGTTCCGTTAACAGATCTGTTACCTATATCGATACAAACCTCGCTAACCTCTTCACACCCAGCAGAACATAATGTCTACAGAATAACGGGAGTCTTACCGGGAGCACCGGCACCGGGAGTCCGTTAATCAGCTGTGTCGGTGCTGCTCCTGAGCTACATGCTAACATGCTAACATGCTAACTGTTTACAGACATTAAGCCCCGCCCACCAGGAACCAACAACACCGCGTCACGTCCGGGTTTAAAGCCTGGAGCTTCACCGCCACCTGCTGTCCGGGGGGGGGGGGGGGAGCACAGGTCAGGGAACAGCGAGGATACATAATAATTCAAATGTAAATATTGCAATATTACGTTTTTACTTACTGTATTTTATCTGTTCAGAAAATATTAAATAATAATATTACACTTTATATGAAATGTATTAGATTTGGTCACTGTGTATTTTTAAGGCAACTTAATTTGACAGAAAATAAATGACTTAAACACTTAAACACACAGTGATCTGGCTTCCTGTCGCCCTCTGCTGGTTCACAACACAAACAGGAAGTAGATGTTCTCCCTCCAGAGTAAACTTCAGTGAGGTTTGGTTCCACTAAATAATAAGATGTGTCTTTGTTCACTAAAGACCTGGTGTTAGCAGATAGCTTCATGTGACGTTTTATTTTGCATTTTGTCACTTTAATTTGACTTTAAAGTCCTCTGTGTTTGCGTTGTATGATCTGCGTTATGTCAACGTGTATTTTTAAGAAACACTAAAAGAATCCTCTTTTTTTTGTTGCATTGAAACAGATTTAGTCACTATTTACAAAAACCTGTTTATAACTTATATTCAGTTACAACAACAATTCACTGTCATCAGACCAACCCTGCTTTAACACCTCAGAACACACACACACACACACACACACACACACACACACAATAATAGCTAATCCTTGTGCAACACACACACACCCTCTGCAGGTAGCAGCACGCTGCAGCCTCACCCTGACAGTCATACAGTCACACCTCTGCAGGACCTGTTGTTGATAACACACACACACACACACACACACACACACACACACACACACACACAGGTGAGGTGTTAGAGTCCGCTCATACACTCGGAAAAAGTCTCTGTGATGGTTTCTCTCTGAGTCTCCGGCAGTTTGTCCTCACCTACTTTACCTGTCTCACCTCTCTCTCACCTCACCTGTCTGACTCACCTGTCTGTCTCTCTCCTGTCTGTCTCTCATCTGAGTGTGATCGAGCTTCCTGTCGACTCCCGGAGGAACACGAGCTGCTGTGAGTTTTTACTTTGGATTTCTGCTCTGAATCTTGTTATTGTTAAAGTTTGTTTTCTTAACCATCGCCATCCTGTTGGAGAGCGTTTACTCACACACACACACACACACACACACACACACACACACACACACACACACACAGGATCACACGCTACTGGAGGGGGAAACATATACCAGACATGTCTGAAAGAGATCTGAAAGAGATCTGAAATGTGAGTAAACATTTCCAAAGAATATGTAAAAATGTCCAGAAAGATGTCCTGAACGTTTGCGAAAAAATTGCAGAAATATTTATAAATCAAATGTTATAAGTGTCAGAAAAATGAGCCGAAATATAATTAAAACATTTCCAAAAAATATGTGTAAAGATCCTTAAAAATCACCAAAACTTACTTCAAAAAGTGCAGAAAAATATCAAAAATGAAGTGAAATAAGTGAAACAAATATGCATAATGTGCTGTTTACTTGTAGAAAAGAATATCTCTGAAACATGTGTGTAAATGTCCACAAAATGTGTGAGGATGTCGGACAAATATGTAGAAAAATTCCCAAAAGGTATAAAAGAAATTGCTGGAAAATGTCCCAAACATTCACAGAAAATAAATCTAAAACAAAAAAGTGTTAGAGGTCACCTATCATGCTATTTCTAGGCAATAGCATAGGTCTCAGATATATACAAATATATAAAACACATGTCTATGAAGTGTTTTGCTCAAAATACCAAACAGATCACCCATTCTAGCCATGCCTCATATCCCTCTATTTCACTTCCTGGTTCAAAAGTGATGATTCTGGGTATAAAGCTTTAACAAATAAAAAAGGAGGGGTCTGAGCTCATGCGGGACCCGGCAGCTACTGTCTAAACTAAATACTGCCGTGATGAAACGCCATATCATGGATTATCAAGGATTATTTCTGAAACAGTATGGAGCTCAAAGGCTTTCTCTCTTGCCGGTTATACCACAAGGTGAGTTCCTTTTTATTTCCTGCTTCTTCACACACATGCTCTCCAGTACAGGTTAGCTCTGAGTGTTAGCGATGCTAATGTAAACACCGACCATATTACGTCCAAAACAGTCGGGCATTGTTTCTGATAGCAACGTTTCTGATAGTGCTGTGGGTCTACATTTCAGATATTACATCATATCGGACGCAAATCTGGATCAGCTCCGTTGTTCCCCCGTTTTTAGAGATTTGGGTACGGAGGAAAAGAGAGAGGGTTTTATTTTCTGACGCTGCGTGAGTTCCCTGACACACCGGGGACACACCGGGGACACGCCGGGGATACGCCGGGGACACGCCGGGGATACGCCGGGGACACGCCGGGGACACGCCAGGGACACGCCGGGGACACGCCGGGGATACGCCGGGGACACGCCGGGGATACGCCGGGGACACGCCGGGGACACGCCAGGGACACACCGGGGATACACCGGGGACACACCGGGGATACACCGGGGACACACCGGGGACACATGTTGATGTAGAAAAGACATCAGAAAGTGACTTTTGCATGATAGGAGACCTTTAAAACATAAACACTTTGACAAATCCAAAAGTGAACCGTCACAGAAACACCTGTTTATGGATCTAAGAATATAACTGAGAGTAATGAGGTCATCTGTCAGCAGGAGAGTCATGGAGTCCAGAGGAAGAGGAGGAGGAGGAGGAGGAGGAGACACCCTGAGGTCAGAGGTCAATTTTATAACTTCACTTAATAAATACATAAAAGTGTCTCTGTGTTGATGTACAGTTTAACCAGTGAAGCCTCTGTGTGCGCAGGTCTCTGAACAACAGCACTGATACTGCAGATACTACCAGTACTGCAGATACTACTGATACTACCAGTACTACAGATACTACCAGTACTGCAGATACTACTGATACTACCAGTACTGCCAATACTGCAGATACTACCAGTACTGGGAATACTGCAGATACTACCAGTACTGCTAAAGATACTACTACCAGTACTGCCAATACTACTACAGACACTAGTACTGGGAATACTACTACAGACACTAGTACTGGGAATACTACTACAGACACTAGTACTGGGAATACTACTACAGACACTAGTACTGGGAATACTACTACAGACACTAGTACTGTCAATACTACTACAGACACTAGTACTGGGAATACTACTACAGACACTAGTACTGGGAATACTACTACAGACACCAGTACTGGGAATACTACTACAGACACTAGTACTGGGAATACTACTACAGACACTAGTACTACCAGTATTACCAATACTACTACAGACACTAGTACTGGGAATACTACTACAGACCCTAGTACTGGGAATACTACTACAGACACTAGTACTGGGAATACTACCACAGACACTAGTACTGGGAATACTACTACAGACACCAGTACTGGGAATACTACTACAGACACTAGTACTGGGAATACTACTACAGACACTAGTACTGGGAATACTACTACAGACACCAGTACTGGGAATACTACTACAGACACCAGTACTGGGAATACTACTACAGACACTAGTACTGGGAATACTACTACAGACACTAGTACTGGGAATACTACTACAGACACTAGTACTGGGAATACTACTACAGACACTAGTACTGGGAATACTACTACAGACACTAGTACTGGGAATACTACTACAGACACTAGTACTGGGAATACTGCCACAGATACTGGCCGTCCTGTAACAGCTGCTGCTCTCTCAGGTAAAGTAACAGGAAGTCAGGTATTGTTTTTATTACAGTTATAAACGTTAAACAGATTTTTTAAATGTAATGTATTTGGGTATAAGTATTCTGTTAGGTGATTTGTTGTTGTTGTTGTTGTTGTTGTTTCCAGTCCCTCGTCTCTTTCTGTCCGTTAGACGAGAGGACAGAAGAAGAATTAGTTTTTAGGTTAAAATGAACTCACAGGAGAATTTTCTACTTCGTGGTTTCATGTGTTTTACTTCATTAGAAGATATCAATAATATATCAAATACATTTTTAAAAACTTAGAAAAATGTTTCCTGACGTTTTGTGAGAAAAGAGTTTCAGACTTTCTGAAACGTAAAATGTCTTAAACGATGTGAAAAGAACACACGTGAGAAATATGTGAGGAAATCCCAAAAGAGGTTAAAAGTGAACAAAACGTGTGAAAGATGAAAAGTGACTTCCTGTCTCCAGGAGCCGTGGAGCTGCTGTCCAATCAGAGGCCAGGTGGAGTTACTGATCAAATACTTTACATATATTTATACTTCATAATTAACACTAATACTTAATGCTATAGAGGGCGAAGTCCCGCCCATCTACTTCCGACCCATGGGACCTTATTTCGGAAAAATTATGTATTGAAGTCAATGGGGAGAGAAAGATTATCTTTCGATCCCGTTTGAATTGTGCCACGAATTACACATATGATGTTTGTCAATCTTAAAAAATAATTTTCATGTCAAAAAAGTCAGTTTGTCGTAAAACTGTTGAAATATAAGACTATGAAAAATACGCAACTAGAAAGACTACAAATCCCAGAATCCCGGTCCCGCATGCTGGCTCTTATGAACCGACTAACTCCCCTTGTGTGTATGTACAGCTCTCAACATGCCCAGACTTGGAGTGATTTTCACCTCTTTTAATACTTTCCTGCCTCATTCTGAAAGAAAGAAGTGAAATGTGCCAACGTGACGGCCGTCTTGGTGTGTGGTGCGAGACGGGAGATGTAGTTCATTGAGCGGTTTCACCAAACAAATGTGTTACTTCACATTTTTACGACACATTTTTATTTTTTTGACTTGCAAAATTATCTTTTAAATTGACAAACATCATATGTGTAATTCGTGGCTCAATTCAAACGGGATCGAAAGATAATCTTTCTCTCTCCATTGACTTCAATGCATAACTTTTCCGAAATAAGGACCCATGGAGGTCAACCGGAAGGGGAGGGACTTCGCCTCTCTAATGTGTGACCTCACTTCCTGTCTGCAGCTCCTCCCAGCAGTCTGGCCTTCTCAAGACCAACGAAGAAGAAGAAAGTCCTGGTGGCTCCAGCGCTCAGTCTGTCCTTAGGTAATCAATTACTCTGTTATTAATAAACATAATACACATAATAATAATAATAATAATAATAATAATAATAATAATAATAATAATAATAATAATAATAATAATAATAATAATCATGATGAGAGAACAAAATAATGATAATAAAATATAATTATAAAATGTGTAATATTGTGTAAAATGATAATAATGATATATATATGTAATATTAATGCTGTTGTCAGGTCGCAGTGAGTCTATGCTCTCGGAGGATTTCCCCCCCGCCTTCCTCTCTCCAGACGAGGACTTCGATCTGGACGGCATGGAGACTCCGTCTGACAGCGAGTCGCTGTGCTTCCCCGTCTACGAGCTGGACCTGGAGGGTGAGACGAGACATCTTCCAAGTCATGAAGGACATCGTCCTTCAGATGACTTGTTCTTCCTTCAGATGACTTGTTCTTCCTTCAGATGACTTGTTCTTCCTTCAGATGACTTGTTCTTCCTTCAGATGACTTGTTCTTCCTTCAGATGACTTGTTCTTCCCTCAGATGACTTGTTCTTCCTTCAGATGACTTGTTCTTCCTTCAGATGATTTGTTCTTCCTTCAGATGACCTGCGGCGTCTCGGCGTGGCGACTCGGCGCCGGGCAGAGTTCAGATCCGGTCCGCGCTCCAGGTTTGAGTTCGACTCCGGGTCTTCTTCAGCAGCAGTGGGGGGGCAGCAGGAGGATGTAGTGGATCCGCAGGGCACCAGGTGGCGCTGTTTCTCCACCGGGGGGCCGGAGAGCAGAGTCAACATGAGCGTCCTGCAGCCCTACCTGAGGGTGCTGTCACACGGAGGTGAGAGAGAGAGAGAGAGAGAGAGAGAGAGAGAGAGAGAGAGAGAGAGAGAGAGAGAGAGAGAGAGAGAGAGAGAGAGAGAGAGAGAGAGAGAGCAGAGACAGATAGATAGATAGATCGATTAGAGAGAGAGAGAGAGAGAGAGAGAACCAGAACCATAACCATGAAAAAAAAGAAATCTGATAAAAAATTCAAAAACTGAATTTTGGGATTAAAGTCAGAATTCAGAGGCTGACCATTCACAGTGTTAATAAGGGAACGTCAGTAAAGATTTAATAATCTGTGTTAATCTCTCAGGTTACTATGGAGACGGTATGAACGACATCATCGGGGTGTTTGCTTCCTGTTACCCATGCCGAAGAACAGCCTGGTTAACTACCAGCAGGATGATGGATCACCTGTTCAGGTAAACCACTGACCAACATGTCCACTGTGAGAGGTGAACGAGGTAGCTTTAGATCTCCCCCAGGTGAACTCTAACCCCCCAGGTGAACTCTAACCCCCCAGGTGAACTCTCCTCCAGGTGAACAGGTAGCTCTCCTCTCCCCCAGGTGAACTCTAACCCCCCAGGTGAACTCTCCCCCAGGTGAACTCTAACCCCCCAGGTGAAACCTCTCCCCCAGGTGAAACTCTCCCCCAGGTGAACTCTAACCCCCCAGGTGAACTCTAAACCCCCCAGGTGACCTCTCCCACCCCCCCCCACAGGTACGTGGTGGGCACTCTGGACCTGATGGTGAGGGAGAACTACCTGATGGGTGTACCTGTGTGCTGGAGGGCAGAGAGACAAGCTGCCAGGAATCAGCTGGCTGAGGGAGTGTTACACCACCATCAACCACAGGTAACACACACCTGTAGTAACACACACCACCATCAACCACAGGTAACACACACCTGTAGTAACACACACCACCATCAACCACAGGTAACACACACCTGTAGTAACACACACCACCATCAACCACAGGTAACACACACCTGTAGTAACACCACCATCAACCACAGGTACACACACCTGTAGTAACACACACCACCATCAACCACAGGTAACACACACCTGTAGTAACACCACCA